GCCGACAACTGCAAATTCGAACAACTCTCAACAAACTATCCGATGGAAAGCGAAACATGACTTACTATCCATGGCATTTCGTGGTGGAACTGAACGGTTCGGACGTAGTCGAGGTGACCGTGCAGAGTAAACAGACACCTTCTGCTCTGAGGTTTCAGGTCTTACCATGCCCATGAGCGTGATGTTTAGGAAATAGAAACCACACCCACCCCATACTTTGATCTTGTAGTCGTCACCTCCAGTAACCAGTAGTGCTCGACTCGGATGAATTGCGACGCCCCGTACAGGTCCTAACAGTCGATTAAATGAGATAGATATCGCAGTCATTGCGATTTGAATGAACTTTACCTTCGTGTTCTTCGAACCGATCCACTAATACGCCCATTCGGTAATTCCAGAGCTGAACACTTCCATTGTGAAGTGCGGCGGCAAGTAGTGGTTGAGTCGGATGAAAAGCAAGTCCTATGACACGCAGCTGCGTCATGAACTCGTGACAAGCTTGGAAACGAACATACCTTTAACGCGATTGCTCTTGGACTCGAACTTTGTGAGCATCACCGACATGTTGAGCGTGGACTCCCTTCAGTCGCGTCAATACCGAGTATAATTTCCTGTCTAATGACTAGGCTGTAGATGATTATATCGGTAGGTCAAGGAGCCCGGTTATTCACAAAAGAGTGCCGTCGTCGTCGATCTTGCAGTTCACTTGCAAGGCGCTGTAAGCCACGACATCGCGGTGGCGGAGTTCATAAAAAGCTAAGAAAGGAAATTGATGTACAGTCTTCTTAGGAACTTGTTTACACCAATGTCACAGGAGGTTTTCTGCCAATAGTCAGTTTTCGACGTTGAGCGACAAAATTTGCAGTGCGCATGGGAGTTCTGGGTCTTACCCCATTTTTACAGAAAACCTGGTGAGCTCTAATCTAGCCTTCCCTGCTCACAACTAATTTTACCTCTGTCAGCCCAGAAGTTATCAGAAAACTTCCAGACCGCCTCAGATCTCTCTGCGGTAAGACCATTGTCATGTAAGCTCTTTATCTGACTAATTCCACCAACTCATCTTCGACCAAATCAGCGATGGCACCCTCATAACCCAGCGCCTTCACTTCGCACCGATGCCTCATCCGCATAGACACGTCCTCGGGTGGCATCGCATAATCACAGAGCTCAACGAGTGCAATGTGCATGCAATTTGCGTATTTGATGGTAGAGACCGCAGCATTGCCAAAGCTCGAGAGGTGAGTTACCACAATAGCCGGAGATACTTTAAATGGATATCTTTTCTAGGTAGAACGACGCAGGGAGATACGGAGACTGGATGCAGCTCGTTCATCCATTGAGGTGGAGAGACTGAGCAGACTTCGGAAATTGATGCGATTACTACCGCAATATCATTCAATGGAACCGCCGGACCGTCGGCGCGTCAGCTATGCGTTACAACACGTAGCAGTGGCTCCAAAGACCATCCCTACATACTTCCAGCCTTCTTTGTCACCATCGGATATCCTTCAGAATGATGTGAACTCAGTCAGTGTTGCTACAACTCGCTTTCAAACTCGCCTTTCTGGTGCTTCTGAATTTGAGCAAATTTGCAAAACTCTATCAACCCATTCGGAGGAGGATACCCTTTGGGCAATCTACGATTCTGTTAACATATCGGATGCAGACATGAAAGAGATTCTTCTCGCTCGCACAGGTCAATCAGTCGCCGTCATCTCGCCTTGTGATTCCAAGTCATGGCTAGACCCTATAAATAATTCGACGTTGGATCCAGGTGCTTCCCTTGTTGAAGGCATATCCAACGTTCGAGTGCAAGACCTCCCTCCTGGCCCAAGCATCATGCAAGGCGAACCTCGAGAAGCTGATTTTCAAACCTCTCAGGACGTGATTTTTGCAGATTTCGTACCCCCAGCAGAGGATGTGATTTCTGCGCTCTCCTCCCTATATCAAGAATATCGCGAGTGCGTCGCACAGATCACCTCACTACCCCCTACCGTGGAGGTTCCAGAGTCCCCAGACGAGACTCGCGCCGAGTACATCATGTCCAGGACCCAACTTCAAATGACAATAGAGGAGGGTCAAGTATGGGATACACTCGCAGATGCTCCTGAAACTGTCCTCGCAACGTTAGCTGAAAAGAGTGGTATTCTTTCCGAGTCTTACGCTCGCCGATCGAATCCTCCTACCACCCAGACTTACGAGGAGAGCAAGGAGATGCTGCGCGCCATGGGTGTGCCGTGCATCGAATCAGGGGGACCCTTTGAAGCAGAGGCTCTTGCATCCTCACTTGTTATCCATGGCAAAGCTGATTATGTTGCAAGCGAAGATACGGTACATCCCTTTTAGAATGCCACGTGTGAATCTTTATCCATTCTTCACCTAGGACGTCCTCGTCTACGAGGCTCCCCTCATTCGAAATATCGCCAACAGAAACGATCCGTTGATCCTCGTCCACGGGTCCCACGTTCGCACTGCTCTCCAACTTTCCAAATCCGCATACATCGACTTCCTCTTGCTTCTCGGCACGGACTTCTCGCAACGGATCAAGAACGTTGGTCCTCAGCGCGCACTCAAGTTCATTCGCGAACATGGCAGCATCGAGCGTGTGATCACACAAGAACACAAGTACCCACCACGGCTCTCCAAACAGTTGTACCTAGAACAAGTAGGCATCGCTCGGCTTACATTCGCAACATTGCCCCCTATTCCAGACCCTGAAACACTGAAGCAACACAATGTAAACCACGCGAAGGTTGCAGCCATTGTACAAAAGTATAGATTACAGAGACTACTGCCTGATCAATGGAATTACGGTACTGCGTTGGAGGGAAATTATTTTGCTGACAATCCCAGGGCAAGGTAGTTGGCGCCCTCCGCACGCGTACTCTATGATTTTATCCATTGTCTGAAGTCTTTTTAGATCATGACATAATTATATCATTGGATCGCTCTTGTCATTTACGTTCAACGTTGACATACACGCGATAGTTGATGATATACGATATCCAAGCGTCCGGCCTATTGCGACAATGACTACCTTCGGCCACATCCCCAAGCACTCCATCACTTCTATCTCATCTATATCTTTCACCTGTTAGTCCCACAACCTATGCTGTCTACGGTCAGTGCGAGTCGGACTTCCTAGATGAGCGACCGTCCGGTAGGCCCCCACAACGGTCGTGATTTTCCACACTACCTCTACGATAGCAGAACTATACGGTGTGACCCTTTGTACCTCAATAACCACATCATCATACGCGTACTGTGTCAATCTCGCCAGCTGCTGTGGCCCGCATTCCATTATGGATCCGTCCCTTTTTGCCCCTCTAATGATGTATTTGGAAGAAAGCTACCCCACGCATCATGCTCCACTATCTCCCACTTACGTTGCTAATTCACCTCCAGCCCCTCAATACGACGTTAGCACCTGGGCAAACCCCAGCGGCCAGATGAGACCCGATACTGCATACTGCCATACACCATGTACGACGAAGGCAATCATATTTCAAAGGTCGTCGAAGTGTACTGTCCTTACCGTATCGTTGCCTTTATATCTCTCTGTGCTGGCTTGCCAATATCCACGTGATTGCCAGGTCTTGCCCCGACCACGTCACGTACATATTGTTACCCTTTTGCCCTGCGCTATCTCGCCCGCTTGTGAAGGGTCATTCGATGCTTGAATATGCATGCATGTGAACGAACCTCTCCCTCGTGAGTAACCATATTACAATATTTGCCTCTCCACCGGCTTTTCTCGATTTCGACGCTTGCACCGGTATTGATATGGATTGCTGGACTTTTGGTTCACGGTGCAAGGCGTTTATCGTGCAAGCTCCCCGCCATTCTAATTCGTGACTATCTCTCAGTGGTGGGTCAAGTACGTACCTGACACACCTCAGATGTAACCGCACAATTTAAATGTACGAAAACATGCCTCAACCTCGCCGGTTTAGGCACTGTCGCAAGCGAAATACTAGTATCCCATATCACTGGACCCCTCAGATATCTAGCCTGTCATAACGTCTCCAAGACGACCCTGGCCAATCTATGCATTCCTGGAGACACTGCGGTGACTGCCAAGTGATCTCAGCCAGACTGTCCGCATCAATATATGTGCGTTCCTGCAGGGCGACACTAGCAATTGCTCTCATTGACAGTTCCCTCTGCTACTATCTATCTTTTCGTCAAGTTCGAACCTCGTTTCTCCGCGCATATATCTTACATCGTGCCAAATTTCATCACTAGTGAAAGCTGGAATACTTATAATCATGATGGCGCTGAAGAACGATTTTGCGTGTTATAGGTCCTTCACCAATTAATCAAATAATTTGAGAGCTGCGCAGACTGCGCACAAATTGGCTCCGAGCCAGCACGTGATTATATGTTCAAATTCAAATACTTCTGCGATCTTCGCCTATCTGCCTACTATAATTATAAGCGATAAACATAAACTTGACTACACACGTAAAGAAATTGCCCAAACTCGCATTGAGCCTGGCTAAGGCAGTCCGTACGACGGTGATTGGAGGCGCTTTGCAATACAGCAATATTTATGCCCAAGTTGAACACGTATTATTCATGTCCGCCTGCAGGCGCGCGCGAATTCATCAGCCCTAGATCGCACTTACATCAGGAACAATTGGAATTCCACTCCAAGAAGGTCCAAGGTCCCCCGGACATCATACGGATCTAGCAAGTTACAGATAGCAGCTGTAATTGTTTTCTTCCAACAATAACAATCTAAGGCGCCGTGGTGAATGTCGGATGGAAGCTCAGCGTCAGCGCCTACCATCCTGCAGCTCTGAAACCGGCACGAATTTGAACGCGCGTAACTCTGAGCAAGATTTGATTTCGTCTGTGCCATATTTCGTGGCTTATGTACATAGTATACAACTTCTTAGGATTCATGATCACATCATTCTGGCGAGTAACTTGGAAATCGCATTGGTTATCTCTCTTTGCGCCTTCTCTGCAGATGCACTGATCATCTACGCCATCTACTATCCGTATCGTTTGGGATCGACGTGGCGAGGAGGATTAGCTGTTTTCCTAATATTTGACCCCGTCAAATGGCAGCTCTGATATAATAAAAACCACGTACTTTTGAGTGACGGGTTGCTTATTGGGCTGGCTCTGATTTTTCTTCTCCTGCTCCTTGGCCTCTTGAAGTTGGCGGGCGTGACTGATAGATATAGCCCTCGCATCAGCAGGGCCTCTGGAACTGAACCTGGGAAATGTGTCACTTTATCGTACACTGCACCGGAATTCAAAACAAATACCTGGAATCCTCAGAGGCCTCGAATGTAACCTCTTCTGGGGAAAATTCTTCCTCCTCTGAATCTTCTGAATCTTCTTGAATTGATTCATCATGAACCGGAACGTTCTCATCGTGCATCCTGTATCGCCATGAGATCTTGCATATCTATCACGTTCAGTATGAGTGCACTTGCCGGGAATGGACAGAGGGTGTTCCATAAGAAGCGTCTTCTACATGTTTGGTCATCTTAGCGTACAGTCGTACAGTTATGTCGTCGTGCAGCAGAGCGAGCAGTGAATCAAATCGAAGACAGTAGTGGTCAGGGAAGCGTGAGCAATCTGAGGAACGTGTATATGTGGCTGGAGCGGCTGGATAGAGCTAAATTTGCGTCAGTACATAAGTAAGCGTCTGACCATGAGGACAGGCGCTAGACCCTGATAACGCAAGCGCCGCCGTTTCCCATAGCACGCTGTTTACTAATCGAGTCTGATAGACGCTTGCAGGTGGACAGTGAATATTTGAATGCCAAGCTGTATTGATTATGACACTGATCGTTTGGCCTGTTGGACACCGAGTCTCCATGGAATTTTCAGCAGTATCACTTATCTGGGCGCTAGGAGTGGTCAACTCGTGGATCTTACCGTAGGCGTCATTTGGAAGTGGAAGGCCGAACAGATGGTAGCCCCAACTGGCACTAGTCTAAATCTATCTATGGCCCTGGCATTTGTACGATAGCACGCATTAGTTCTGGTGGTAAGAAATGACTTGGAATTTGGACTGGTGAGGAGACAACAGCTTGCCATTGAAATTAGGGCACTAACTATCGTGTTCACGTTTTTTTTTCGCCCCTGGCTGGCTGCATACGCATGGCACGCTAATTACAGTCTCGCATGCCAGCATGTGCGTGTAATGAGCTCCTGTGGCGGGCGATGTCTCCGAAGTCTGCGGAAGAGACGCGATAGGTGTGTTTAACTTTCGAGTCAAGAAAGAAGACGTACTGACGAAGTCCGAGTCATATTGGCTATCCAGTATGAATTATGATAGCCTGATAATTCACTGATAGGGTCTGCCACCAATGGAAGATATTGCTGGCAATAATGCCGTGAAGCATTATAGCGCTAGTTTGGCCACGGAGATCCGGTTTTTCTTACTGGCGGCGCTTGGTATGGCCAACGCCAACGCCAATGCATCAGCCATCTCCTAATACTAGAAGGAGGCGAGTCCATTTTGAAGTTGGTTTTGAGCCACATCATGGTCGTGGTGTATGACTCATGCTCAGGCTATTGTTACTGCGGCTTGCCAGGCCCTGCCTTACCCATGCTGGCAGCACGCCTGAAAGTTAACACGCAGCAACCGACAGTCACCGGCTACGAGCTATCCGAGTCGTAGTGCCATGGGATGTATGCCAGTATGACCTGATGATAGACTACTATGTGGCACCTGACAGTGCCAGCAGTCTGGTAAATTCACATCTCGAGAGTGTAAGTCACACTTACCTCTTGTCAGTAAACTACACCCGAATCCTACGAGCTATCCCCGGGAGACTGACGACCTAAAGACCATATTATCAATATGATTAAAATTCGGAAACAAGCGCGGAGGGCGAATATGACATAAAGTTGAGTCAACCCTTCTGAGTCACAGTGGTCGGTCCACAGCACCCACCAACTTGAATTACCGCGCGCGGTTAAGTGACAAGTGTGGCTCGATCGATTGATCTGAGCCACAATTGCGTACTACTAATAACACGCCACTGCTCAGGAAGTTCCTCTTCTTTTTTGCCCAACTTGATTTCAATTGGCACCACTTCAACCTCAACTCACTACAACGATATGACATCCTCACTTGACCTACTCAAGGAGCTCAGGCCTGTGACTTCGACAACCACCAGACGGTATGGCAAGTTTCTCTGGTAAGTTCTTTCAAACCAACCTGTATGGTATCCATCCATTCATTCATTCTCCATCAAGGGTGGATGCATACCACACTACAACTGCACCTGGGTTGCGACTTCGTACCAGGTGAACTCACTTAGTACCGGCGACTGGCCGGTGGACTTGAACTGACCTTGACCAACGTCCCAGCACCAAATCTAACTGGCTGTCCTTCACCCATCCAGAAGGCCAACTATATTTTCATATGAAACGTGATCGTTTCTCGGTTGTCACAGAGGAGAACGTATCAAATGTTGAAACGGACAATTTGGTGTCCGGCTACCTGGCTTTAATCGAAAAAAGGATCCTCGAATGCGGCATCATATTGCCACAAGCATGCGAACTTTTCGTCGAGCTTCGGTTTGACGAATCACCACAAACGTCTACATGTGCATATTACTTTGTGGATCACCATAGCCGCTGCCTCTTCTGGCTCGAGCCCACGTCATCAGAACTGTTCGGCATGGGCATGGTGGTGTCTGACTCCCACTTAGGTGGGTGTTTAGTTTCTTTACAATAATAGTTGATTGAGTTTCAACAGATACTGCATTGGAAAGACTCTACTGGGTACATGTCGAGTTTTTCCCCATGCATGTCTGTGCACAGATGACGCCACTCATCTTGGACAACTTGATCAGTGTCATCTGTCACGGCATGACAGGTATATCGTGCCCTTTTTTTGCGCAGAATTCGTCTATTGACATGACACGCGTTCTAAGATCGAATGACGTCGCGCTCCTCTACATTCCCATATACAGAGGAAAAGTGCGATCAACTCCTGCGGGCGTTGTCCTTACGACGAGGTATGGAGACACTTGTTGCAAAAAGAGTTCACGACCTCACCATTATGCAAGGCGAACCATTAGATGGCCATACACTATGTTTTGTGGGTAAGAAGGATGCTTTTCGTGTGTTATGCCAAGCTGACACGTCCTAACTTAGCTCGTCTTTGGGGTGCAATAAGTCAGTTGTGAACACATTGCAATTTCTTCATGAGTGCTGAACATTCAAAAGATAATCAGCGATTCATAACGTACTATGGTCAAGAAAATGCCCAATTGGATAGATTGCAACCACCGATGCCAGAAGACATAGTTGATCGCACTGGGATTCGTGCACTGGCAAACCTGATGTTATGGGGAGTCCCTAACCACCACTACTCCAAGCTTCATGACCTCTTCGTTCACGACAATGTGTATATTGATCACTGGCAGGCTTTCATGACTGAATGCATCTCGGAATGGAGAGGGTTACTTGTGTGGGTAGGTCGTTTGTCTCATGTAATGTATCAATTTGGATAGCTGAGCTGGCGTCCAGGCATTTTCGGTCCTGATGTCAGTATAATCTCAGGGTTTAGTTGATTTCCAATTTTGATAATCATCTCACAGTGCCAGCATTCTCATTTCGATGCTGCCGCGTGCTTCGTTATCATCTGCTATGGCACCAATTCTTGCAGCATCTTCAAGCATCTTGTCGGGATCGATCCTGCTCTTGAGACACCATGGTTTCGAGGATGCAACTGCCTCGTTTGCTGTGTGCACTTTCCCCTATCTTCGATCGATACAACTTGACTCACCCTCTTTCTAGGCGAACTTCCTTCGCTCGTCAAAATCGTCTGATTGGGGTTTCCTGCCCTTATCTGTTGTATACAGCATGCCAAAAGCGATGTACTTATGGAGCATAGGACTTATGGTTGCTCAATTAGTATTCTGGACTTTCCGCGTAGTTGGCGTCTTTTGGGCATCAGGTGGCGCTGGCTTTCTAGCACTAATGGGCTATGGCATCCTCCATTTCACATCTTTGGAGGATGATCATACCGATTCCTTGGCCACCATGCTGCGCAGCCATTGGCAAACATTCCAAAGCGATTCTGTGGCAGTTACCGAACCTTTGACAGTATGAGTCCAATATCAATCTTCTTTTTTTCAACGGTATGTGTTCGCAAGGCTGTACTTCTGGCACGCTTACACTTCATAGGTGGTTTCTATTGCGGGTCTTACTTTCGGACAGTGCACCCCTAAGCGTTTATAGCCAGTATGTCGACAAATAACCCATCAAGGATGTTGAAGAGCAATTTATACCATACAAAGACACCCCTTCGGTCTGCTCTTCGGTGTATACAGTAGCAACTCAGGAAATACGATATAAGCATAGACTTGTACAGTTGTACTTCGTTCATCTCTGAAAATAGACACATTGTATCATTAGCAAAGAGATGAAGGGGATGATCTGTTTTCATCGCCAATAATAGGACCAGTGATTGTCCGCTAGATAGATTCCGTCTTCGGTTAGTGTGAGCAGCAAATGTGAACACATTGAAACGAGACGGATATCTTCAATTTCTAGAGTGGCGATGAATCCGTCGTATTGCCAAAATCAATCTGATACCTGCTTCCATTTTGAAGACCAATAACACCGTGAAATGAAGCAGAAGCTACCATAGTAGAAGAGTAAAGAGGAGACAGAACAAAGAATCAGTTTAAACTTCAACCACGCAGAATATTGACATACCGATGCCGGCAATTTAGATTACGAAACTTTCTGAGTTCGGCCGCTATATAAGCGTTAAGTACTTAAAGCAACTGGTTCAATATAACCATAAGATATGTAGACAGACCAAAGTTAAAGTGGCTAGCACATCCAAGTACCTACGAGCAAGAAACCGAAACCGAAAACTACATACAGCAAGAAATAAATTATTCAAACCACACCTGGCCTCATACCTCATTTCGCAATATCAAACTAAAGCACGGCTCACAAAATGGCTTGTTTTCGCGCAAAAAGAATGACGGATCGTCAAACGGGGTTTTGCAGCCCTGAAAGTGCAACCCGGTATGAGCTAAGCATTCAATGAAAACAAGAGATATCATATACCTCGCACACAAAACACTCCCAACACCATTTGCCTCCCAAAGCCTCAACAGCGCGCATTCCGTCCCTGATTGACTTCTTGCAATGTTTGCATTTGGGCATACGCAGACGGACGTGGCACGCCTCGCAGTATGGATGACCCTTGTACACCGTGAAACCGACGTCGTCGTCAAGATCGAACTCGCCATCACCCGTGACCGTCAAACCGCCACTCCCAGAAGATGGCGGGAGGAACGGGTCCCCACACTCCGCACAAAAAAAATGTTGCTCGTGATAAGTCCGCTTTCCCAGCGCCTCGTCGTCAAGCGTGATGAACCGTTCGTCAATAATCGCCGTTTTGCAGTGATAGCAACGAGGCGCAAAGTTCTGTGTGACATTGGAATGAAAACCGTTATATAGCAAAGGAATGTTGGGAGAACGAACCTCGTGGTAATCAAGATGACAATACGGTTTTCCCTCGTGATCGAAGCTCGAGACATGCTCAAGGAGATCATTGCAGGTGGAGCAACGAAAACACCCTGGATGCCACCGCTGTCCCATGGCACTGACGATACGTCCAATAATTGGACCAGCGCATCCTGCGCATGATAACCCGTTCCCACGCATCCCCTTTAGCACTCCTGATAATTTACCTCCATTCTGCACGTTGAACACATTGTTCTGTCCTCCTGCACTTTTTAGTCCATTTTCGCCTGGAGGTGGCGGGAGACGTTTTGGCTCATGGGATGGCGCCGATGTGTTCCATGAGTTAGGTTGCCTCAGAGAGAAACTGGGAATGGATACAGATATCTGGGGTGTAGAGGGCGATGATACAGATGTTTGTTGTATGGACGGTGAGGATGCAGAAATCTGTGGAGAAGAAGGTGATGATCCTGACACTGCGATACGCGGTGGCGTTGATGTGTTAACGGCTACACGCGGTGGCGTTGATGTGTTAACAGCTGCACGCGGCGGCGTTGAACTAGTAACAGCCACCCTCGGCGGCGTAGCACGCGAACCCGCCACTCTCGGCGGTGTAGCGCTCGAAACAGCAATCCTTGGCGGCGACTCCTGCGTCTTGCTCGATAGTACCGTCCCACTACCACCATTCTCACAGTCCTGATCAAAATCAACATGCCCACCGGGGAGAGAGATAACCGGCACGCCCACATCCGCGCGTCTGCCTTCATCATCCCCGCGCTCTGCCACAGCTCTGGGCGCCGGCGTGCGATGCCACCTCGGCGTAACCTCCTCACCCACAAAACCCATCTCCAGTACGGAGAACTGATTAGAGGAGCGCTTCGCGAAACGGATGGGCGAGGGTGAGTGCTCATCCCCGTCATCCTCATTGCAATATCCATAGTCCTGATCCTTATTTGCAGGGCCTCTGGAAACAGATCGCCCCCTCACGCGTGCCCCAGGATCTGAAGGGGAAGGTGAGCGAGATACACTAGGCGAAGGTAGACCCACACGCTCACGGAGCGGCGAAACAGGTGGCTCGTCATCAAGGTCGTATGTAGACACGTACGCACGCTGCTTTTGGCGCTGACGCTCCATGATGTGTGAATTTGATGTAGTCGAATGAGATGAGCTCGTATGGAACGAAGATGGAAACGAGGTGGGCGGGAACGCATTCCGTGTGTTCGAGTTGCTAAGGTAGGCTAGTTTCGGTGGGGAGGACGAAGAAGGTAACGTTGGTGATGTATACGTATTGGACGATTTTTGTGGTGAATTGGAAGGCGAATTTTGATTTTGTGGGTTAAACGGGCCTTTTCCGCTGCTCGCTTTTCGTGGAGAGGGGAACACATGCGCACTTCCTGCCTCAACACGTGCAGGGGGCGTCGGTAGGGGTGGGTTTGATGGCGATGTAGGGCGTGAAAACCCAGACGGAGGGAGCACAGAATTCTTGAGTGGAGATGCAGGACGCGCGAAAGCGGATCGCGCAGGCGAGTCATTCATGTTGTTATTATCAAACGTAGAGGCATTAAACCCAGGTGAAAAAGGTCGGTTTCCAGCAGGCGATAGCGGTGCGCGGGGAAGCGGCGGGATGTTCTGTGGCCACTGGCTGCGCGTAGGCGAAGGTTCACGTATAGGGGATTGTTCGCGTGCAGGCGACACTCTTCGGCGTTCCTGCTCACGCACCAAGCTTCGACTTCTGCCTGACACCCGTCTCTCCATCGGGGTGGACACAAAAGGATGCTTTTGAAGTCCCTCAATCACAGATTTGCCACGCTGCAACGATGGGCGTTTAGACAGGCTTTCAAGTTCTTCTTCCTTTGCAGATGGCACACGCTGCAAAAGCGGGTGGCTCCCCAGGTCGAAGCTCGGCGAAGATGAGCGTGAACTTTGCATCGAGGGATGTCTGCTTAGATCGTTTTGCATGTTGTGCGAGGGTGACTGAGAGGAAGTGGATAGTCCGAGTGCGGCCATACGCAGTGTGAGCGATTGTGGTTCATTGTCTTGGATATGGTTGGGTGACTGGGGTGGAGGAGTCGGGAGAGTTGCTGAGCGAGTCGGGCGTGTCCGAGTCCATTGCCTTTCCTGAATATGCGCTTGGGTTTGAGATGGTTGAGAAGGATGAGGGCGCCGAGGAAGGTCGCGGATGCCGTATTGCGGGGACACATTGCCCGATTCTACTGCACTACGTATGTCGCGAACTTCATTCTGTTCGTTATACCTACCATGCTGGCGACTATAGTCTTCCCTTGGGCTACTATATCCTCTTCCTGCGTGGCGTCCATCATTTTTTTCATCATGCTCATCACCCACGTCACTTGTATTTGACTCATCGTCAGTGGTCGCAGGCATCCGTGTGTGCATCGAACGCATCGTCGAAGACGATAAACGGGAAGAATCTGTGAACGTGGACGAGGGAGAGGGCGCGTTGCTTGCCGTACGTGCCCTCTGTAAAACAGAATGAGCTGGGACAACCAGAACAATCAGGTACATCCAGCGGTCAACATGAGTTATCAGTACCTGGCGCTGGTGATCTTGGACTACTGGAGACGGGTGGAGGACGGGATGACATAATTGTTGGAGAGCGAGAAGCATCTGATATAGGTGGACCACGCGAACTCCCTTTTAGATCTGAAATTGATGAACGGTCAGAGTACTGAAATGACAAATAAATACCTGGTTCTGGAGGCCATCTCGAACTGCTTTGAGCTGGCTGGCCCTGCGAGGAAGCCGGGATGGCTGAAGGGGAATGCGAGCTTCCTGAAAATATTATTTAAAGTTGAATTTCGCACTTATGATAACTACTATTACCTGTAACAGGGGGCGAGCGTGAATTGCCCAGTTCGGGAGGACTACGTGAAATGCCTATAAATAAAATGCCCCTTGACTCTGACTGTGATGTGTTCAATGATTAGAAGACGGACCTGGAAGTGGGGGTACAGGTGGGGACCTATTACCGATGGATGGTAAAGGACGGCGACCGGACGATGTTTGTGTTTGAGCGCGATGAATGACTGTCTGGGCACGATCTATGACACTTGTGGGATTACGCTCTGGGCTTACTGGACGGGTAGAGGAATAGTTGGTTGAAGTCGCAGGATGGGGAAACCCATTATTACCAAAATTTGATGGAATAGCCGAGCCAGATACAGTGCTCCTGCGTTCCATAAATGGACCCACGCGTGAGGACGACTCATCTGGCTGTGGTGATGGCCCAGGTCCGGGTAGGTCACGTTTCCAGTGAGGGGTAAATTTGGCCGGTGCAGAAGAGAGTGGAAGAGCTGAAAGTGTGTAAAAAATGAGGTCAAGTAAGAGAAGAGCACACACGTACCCCGCACATCTATATGTGGAGCGGCATTGGGGTAGCTAGATGCTGGGACAGGGCTGGTGAAACTATGGAGTGGTGTATTGTGAAAGGTTGCAGGAGGTGAATTCGAGTAGGCTGATGATGGGGGTTGATTTGGGGAAGCAAATGATTGTTCCACGCTAGATGAAAGGGCTGTCGAACTAGAAAAGCTTGAAGCACCACTTGCAGCAGAAAAGGGGGAGAAACCAGATGAGCTGGTTTGGGAGCTTACGGCACTATTTAGATCTGGTTCTGTTGGAATATTATTTTCCAACTGAGCACGAAGATCCAAGCTTGCATGTTTAGTTGATTTAGCACCTGGATTAGGAAGAGGACGTCTGGTATGATGATTATTAATGTGGGTGCTCTCGAGGGATGCAGCATGTGCTAGGATGACAGGACGTGAAGGGGCCGGGGCTGGAATAGGTGCCGGACGTGACGGGGCCGGGGTCTGAGCGGCACGTGCAGGCGGGGGGAGGGATTCTGGACGTGACTTGAGGGATTCTGGACGTGACTTTGGGGTTGGAAGGGGGCGTCGGATTGGAGTGGGGTTAGGGAAAGATGTCGGTGGTGGGCGATGTTGCTGGTGAGGGTGAGGATATCTTAACTGGGATGGTATCTGGATCTGGGTCGGGTGTTGGATCGGGTATCCTGGTCGGGGTGATATAGACCTAAAACCTTGAGATTGTGGTGGTGGATCCCGTGGTGCCGTTGTGTATGCCATCCTCCAACCTTCTCAAGGTGTTCAATGTAACACCCTACCGCGTGTCCTAAGAGAGGCTGTCCATACATCATTTAACCAACGCGTACATCACATGCACAAATATACCAAAATAAACTCGGCGCACCCGACATATGTCAAACTTCAAATTTTCTCTTTAGCTTCGACTATCCGATATATAGAGACTAAAATTCCTATGATACAGAAGCTTATACTTATCGCTAAGTGCTTAACTTTTTACCACCCCTCGCACCGACCCAGTAAGACCCATTAGGCCACTCAAACTCGGCAATGCTCTCCTTGTACATCTCAATACTATACCCTTCCTTTGGATTACTCGGAACATTGTACCTCCCCCTTTCGTTCATGGTACACCTGTAGGGAAAGTGCTCATGCAAGTGGTCCGCGAATTCTAACACATTTCGTTCCATCGTTCCGGAAATTGCGACGTAGTCAATCACGCTTAACCTACTGGTCAGGGACACTACTTTCAGCGAAAGGATCTACACTGACCTCAGATGGATAACATATTCGCATAACCCAACGCCGCCGGCATGTGGACAGACAGGGACTCCAAACCTCCGAACATGGCCATTCAGCATGTCGTCCGAATGAAAAAGTGAAAGTCTCCTCGTGCTCACTTTGCAGCCATCAACAACACGCTCAGAACCTCACTGACACCTGCGAGTCTGCAGGAATCAATCTGACAAACATCGATCGCTTCTGCCTGGAACAACTGCTTGAACACCATACGGTTATGAGCATGTTCCCCAGTCGCAACCCCGATCCCGTACGGCTTGAGTGCCCGCCTGATCGCAGCGTGTCCCAAAGCATCGTCAGGTGCTGTAGGTTCTTCGATAAACCTGGTAGTATCAAGGGTCAGCTCTCATAACTGAAGTGAAAATGAATAGTACAAACCAAGGTTTGATTTCCGCTAATCCGGTCACATACTCTATTGCCTGTGGGACATCCCAAACCTGGTTCGCATCGATCATCAACACAGCACCAGTCGGACCTGCGTTCTTGCCAGCCAGTTCTGGGCTCGAAGGGTCCTTGAATCCAGACGGGTAATTTGCGGGGTCGTCGATGATAGAACGGATCATCTTGCCTCTGCGCAAGTCATCCTTGACGTCGGCGCCTACTTTCATCTTGAAGTGGTTGAACCCACTTGCAAGGGCCTCCTTCGTGAGACGAGACACTTTCTCATCCGAATATCCTGCAGGACTTCTCAGCAAAGTCAGTAGAATCGATAGGCGCCTCCTCACCAAGCCAGCCCGCTGATGTGATATATGCTGGATACCTGTGCTTGTCTGTAAGATGTGGATAATTGACATGTACGTCGATAAACCCTACCCAACTTTGGTAACAAGGGCTTCCCTTTCACGCTTCCCAGCCTCCTTGGCCTCAAGCATCTCAAGTGCTTCTTCACGTGTAAGCACGTCTGTGATATAACGAAACGCAGTCGCATTTACTAGCTCTTCCTGTGTGTGTACTCATAGTGAATTTAAACGGGACAGGCATAGAACAATGTCACGAACGGGAGTCATATCAACAATCAATTTCCATAGGGGTTTGCCTCTGGCACGAGCAAACATGTCCCACAGGGCGTTGTTCACTGCAGCTGTTGCAAGGTGAATCACACCCTTCTCCGGACCGATCCTTGAAACCAAATTCACAGTCAGATCACAGATACCAAGGTAAAACAACATAATTCAGGAAGAAGCAAAGCTATTGAGTCATACGCGACGACCTAATGTCGATTCAGCTGAACATTCGAGCACTCACCATCGCAGCTGCGAGTCGGAGCACATCCAGTCCCAAGCCTTGCCCATATTCTCGAAAAAGCTCTCGGGATCCCGTCCGATCAAGCGTCCAGCAAGTTCCCGGATCGCATGGCACACCTATGACGCGAGATAAGTGATTATCAGTAACATATTTCCAACAGAATGAGAGAAGTGATGCAACGATAAATAGATCATCTACCAAAATTTGTGACGAGGAAGCATGTACTAAAAGCGCTAAGCTTTGTTCACTCACAATATCAGTACCACGACCAATGGTGAACGTCATTCCATGACCGATAAGCCCACTGTCAGTGTGTATGGTAACATATGCTGAACTATAATCGCAATCTGTATTCCTGAGGCGCGTGTGATGTTGAAGATTCATCGCAGATCACGACATGGGCATTGGCTTACATCGCATCAGTGCCATCACCCGTCAAAGATGTGGGAAATCGAATATCTATTATCGACGGCAAACAAGATGATCAGTGCACGCGCGCAGGGAAAGTAACGAACCCCACCATGAGTTTCGAAGTATGTGATCTTGGTAGTCATTGTACGAGGAGTGTTTCGGTTGCCGATGTCACGGTTGATTTGAGCGAAAGAAAGAAAAGCGGAAGATATGCCACCGTAGTCTTACTCCACTTGTATTTATGGAGTCTTGAGGATGGTGCTGAGAGGTTCTACCGGTGCGAACGCTAACCCTGGACGACCAGGTGACGCATAGACACATACAGGGATATATCACAAGACAGTAAGTACTACACTTGGTCCGAGTCAATATGTGCGGTGACCGGACAAACTGCTGGCACGCGAACTGGTATGCGCTACCCGGTCCGCCGGTCCGCACGAAGCTTAAAACATATGCATCCCCCGTTACTTTATTGTCAAGGCTTTGGTAGTAGTAGACAAGAGCGTCGGTTAAATGGGTAACTGACGGACCACAGGGGCATTAGACTGCATCCACTTCTTCAGTCGACGGCCCGGTGAGTCTCTCACTGACTCAGTGGGTGTGTTTTCTGCCCGTATGTCTCAAGTTTCACTGAGACTAGCCCTACATTTACTCTACATGTAGGAGGACAGCTGGTCCTTCTAAATTTAGTCTATTACTGAGGCTTCCGTTTCAAGCTGGTGCGACTTAATTCATAAAGCTTTAAAGTGTAATACCAGCTATCCAAGACAAGTACTAGTTGACGTTTCCAGCTTGAATCATATGACGAGGACTTTCACTAACTAATTGGATTTATTGACCTCCCAGGCGTGTCGGTGGCCTTCAACTATAATTATCATCATCACAACCGCTGTCACAAACCCAAAGGCCCCGTGTTTGAACCGAGTGCGTACAATTCTTGCACCAGAGCAGAGCACCCTGGCCTGAGCTACGTGTAGATGCGGCAGCCGGACAGATGAACTCAAGATCGACCTGCTGTCGGTACGTCACCAAAACTTGTACATGTTGCGAACATGTCTGTCTCAGAACCATACCAGTTAACAATGCTAGCATGCAGTAATGTGCGATCGCATGGGAGGATAGGAACTACAGAGCACAAAGATGAGATAAAGACATGAAAAGAGCGACGTATCGGGGTAAGATCGATGAAGGCTTTTGTTGACAGTGCATGAATGGAAACTGATGGTAAGGCAAATGAGCTGGCTGTTACCCGGATACTCGTCCGTCATTTAGTTCCAACTCTTCCCACCACCCATCAAATTAACTCTCAACACCGGTATGACAAATACTCCCCTTCAAACCACGCGCATCAAGCAGGTTGCGCGCTCAGTTCACATCCTCAAGGGTCTCTTTCTTCTCTTCGGCTGCGGCTTGCTCGCCCTCAACATCGAAGTTATCGACGAGATCAGGCACTTCATCATCATCATCCTCAGCGGCACCGGTAGGTGGCCTCTGTTGCCCTTGCTGGATGGCCTGGTAAGATTCCGCAAGTTTACGGAGCGATGCCAATGAATCAGGGCCAAGTTGATTCAAGATGCCAGGGACGAGCTCAGTCAGCTCCTTGACGTGACCAGTTCCATAGATCGCAAACGTGTTGGCGGAGACCGCGGCATGTACTACACAAGGCAAGAAGAAAAACACAAATTAACACAAATCTTATCTGACGGGACGCCGAACGCGAGCTTATCTACTCGCAAGCGACGTAGAAATTCGTACACACCTTTTGGGGCAGTGAAATGCAGTACGTTTCCATCTTCCCTGAACATATTAACCTCCTCCACACCAGGAATAGGTTGCACATTCAGTTTCTTGAGGGCACCTTGGAGTTTTTTGTCATCCTGTGCGGCAGAGGGCTTGGTCTTCCGGACGATTTTCCGACGCATGGTCCCTTTACCACCTGCAACGCGTCATCATGTTAGCCTTGATTGAGCACACATATGTCAAGAAGAAAGAAGGAATGGAAGCTATAAATTCCGCGGTGTGATATAAAAACTTACCGATCCTGTTGGCTGCAGCCTGCGCCTGAAGTTTGGCCAATTTTGTGGGATCCATGATGTTTTGCGGCGAGGGTTCACGTCCCTTGGTGATGCGACGGTGAAAAGTTACAGACTAAGGTTTACGCGCAAATATGTGTACACAAACGCTAGTACAGCGGTCCTGAATTTGTACCACAAACCTATACGTATTTGGGCACCACAATCACCCGTTAATTTGGAGGGGGATTCCCCAAGTACTTAACCATAGCTTATCCCTCAGGCTGGAATTAACAACATCAAGTCCGTCAAAGACCTTTTGGAAGAATCATATACCCAGAGATGACCCTTACATTTCACATTCGTCCGGCTAACGTAGATGATGTGGTGAGCACATAACGCATTGCTGACGGAGCGCTGTTATCAGCACTGATAAGATTAATGACTCAGGACGCCATGCTCAAGTTGGTACAGGATCTTGTAGGTAATCGCCCTTGCCTCGAGATTTTCATACACTGCAACTTCCCACTTTTATCTAGGCGACGTATGAAAACGAACCCGAGTCCGCAAGGGCTACCCCTGCTCTGGTGAGTCGTTTGACAGGTCGCGGAGTCATACTCAAATGCCGTTAAAGTTTCGAGAAAATATATTCGAAAAGAAATATGCGCACACCCTCCTCGCGTTTGATGGGACGCCCGAGGCACCCGGAATAGCATTGGGAATGGCGCTGTATTTCTTCAATTTTTCAACGTGGACAGGCAAGCCTGGCCTCTTTGTGCGTCTAGATTCTGACTCGCCTACGCTGCACCGCGATGCTACCTCTTTATTAACACTTCACATATAGCTTGAGGACTTGTATGTATCCCCGGATGCAAGAAATAAGGGCATTGGTAAAGCCCTCTTCGCGGAGCTGGGCAAGGTAGCGCAGGAGAAGGTAACATCACACGCTTCTTTCCGAGGACCTTAGCTGATGCAGCCTCCGGCCCACAAGGGCTGCGCACGCCTCGATTGGTCGGTACTCAAGGTAAGTCACTTGGCTGATCGTGCTACCAATTTTTCAGCGGATTAATTCTTTTGATATTTGTATATCATTCTTTCATTCAGTGGAACACGCCATCGATCGCATTTTATGAAAAAAAATTGGAGGCTAAAGCAATGGAAGAATGGATGGGTATGCGGCTGGAGGAACAGGGAATCGAGAATCTGCAGAAGCTCGCCGTCTACGCAGCCTGAAAGAATTGAAACAGGGTCTTCTATATCCCGGGCAAGTAATAGCATAGGTACCGTTGCGCAATGCGATGTCAGGGTGTCTCTGTATGACGCACGAGCTGATCAAAAGACTTATCGGACCTCAGGCGCAGTCGATGCGCAATACAAGTGGTAAATGAGTCATATATATCCGACGGCATACAAGGCGCATGAATGCAGGGCCATGAAATTGAGAGCACGACTTTGTGTGATGTAAGCTACACCCCGTCGTAACTAGCCCCACCTGCCTGACAAAATTAATGTGAGACCGGTAGATATTCCCCGCTCTAGATTTTTTTAGAATGCTTACCTTCCGCAGCTTCACCACAATCGGATCCTCCTTTAAATCGTCCTTTTCCCGAGCGGGAACTTCGATAGAGTAGACACGCAATACCTGCTTGACATCGGCTGCATGGACGGAGATCTGCGAGATAATATAGCAAAGAGTCATGTCAGACTAAGTACTACATCATCCGAGTCATTGTCATCGATTGACTGTTGAAAGGCAGTGCAGGCGCAGCCCGCCGCCACCGCGTGTGTTGTTAAAATTGGAAAACAAAAAAAGATATTCATACACGCCGTAGCACACGTAAAGAAACAGACTGAGGACTGACCTTGGCCTTCCGCATCACTTTACACCCAGGACCGATCCACACTACTAGAATGAATTTCTCCCGTTGAGATTCCTTGTCATTGGAGAAGGTGACGCGAACGTATGCGTAAGACGCTTTGGAGTCGCCAAGTGCATTGCGTAACTCGGCGAGACCACCCGTTCCCGTCTGTGTGACTCTTAGCTTGTCAGACCGGTCAGACTAAGTGTGTGATTATCGTAGGGAGGACCTAAACGCATCAAGGCAATCGGACCCGCTTGGAAACTTAAATTCTGACCTCATAATCGAGTAAAAGCCAGTTAGTGTCGGATTTGTCGGAACGAACATCCTGGTAAGCTGCAAGGATCAGCACCACGCTGCTGGTTAACCCAATTTCACTAAGCGATGCGCTGTAATTTCGCAGACTAACCTTCATCGATTTGGGGATCGGATAGGTCGGCCATCGGGTATAATCAGGCGCGTTGAATCGAATACAAAATCTTTGCAGAACAGAAGGGAAGGAGGGAAAGAGAACAGGTCAATACGATAGGCTGGGAACTGATGGCAGTGGCTTCCTTCCTGGTTTGAAAGTCGAAGCAGTCACGAAACCACTCGGCAAATACCGTGACAACCCGCCTACTAATTTTACTCACTAAGTTTGTTACATTTTCCTTTCCCGGGTGAACATGCAAGCCATCCAGTTTACAACGAGGTTCAACTATTATAAGTTGACGTCACTACTTCGTACACCTTCACACCACGCGCAGTCTTGGTTTCACAAAAGCTCGCTCTCTAGCTACTATTCCACTACCAATGAACCAAAAAAAAGGGACTGGAGACTAGCCGGACACCCTGCGCCTCTGTCCTTAGCGGAAGGAGAAAGCCTCGATTTGAGTGAAGATGAGCCACCCGCGAGGCGACGGAAGCGCGCGCCGGTGGAAAACACGCCAGAGGAGTGGAGACGTCACCGTCTCGCCATCAAGGAGGCTTTTCCTCAGGGGTGGTCCCCTCCACGTAAATTATCTCGTGAAGCCATGGACGGTTTGCGTGCCATGCATATCTATGACAAGCGTACGTTTTCGACGCCGGTGCTTGCTGAGAAGTTCAAGATCAGCCCGGAGGCTGTCCGCCGCATCTTGCGGAGCAAGTGGGAACCGTCGAGAGAACAACGAGCGAGATTTGCAGAACGGGAGCGACGGTCGAGGGAGGAACGAAAGATGCAGAGTAGGCTTGAAGAGAAGAAACAGAACATGGAATTGATTTCTGAGACTGCCACGATATCAGAGAGACCCAATCGGAGAGATGAGCGGCCAAAAGGGCTTAATTCGAAGGACAGGTTATACTTTGGTTAACAAAATTACTGGGATCGACGGATTGGCATTGCTCAATATGTTCACACCTGCACGCTTAGCTTATATCATCGATCAGAGAACCATGCAACATGCCCGACGTGTAAAAGCTTTTATACAGAAATGGAGCATCGTAGCGCTACATGGGAATCGTCAAACAGGCATATTACTTCTATCTAACCTAGATTATTAGTCACACGTCTAGATATCTAGCAAACGAGAGGGAGCGGTGACGGGTAACAACTTATAAGTACTTTATGGGCATAGTGTCGGAGCCGGTACAGTTTTTGAAATGAAGTATAAGGTAAATAAATGATGCGTGTCCAGTGGGTTTGTGACTAGAACCGTGTGGGTAATGTAGTTATGTGATGTTCGAAAAGGGCTCAACAAGATCCTAGTTTGTTGGCAGGGTGAGAGGGATTGTCCGAAAAGTCAAGGCCAGCTTGAGTTAAAGTGAAAGCATGGATTTCTCGTGTTTGAGATAACACGAGCCCTGTTCTGGTCGGCACAGTAGAATATCGTTCCAGTTGGGTTGAGGTGGTGCATCGAGTTGCTCGCCTTTCTTGTCAACGAGGGAGTACCGGAAGCCAAGTAGCATCATGGAGGTGACAAGCTTGAGCTCAAGTCGGGCCAAGCGTTGTCCAAGGCAATGTGTCTTACCTTGTTACCGGAAAATTAGGTTTGCTAACAAGCGCGCAATCAACAACGTGACTTACCTCCTCCCCAACCGACGTAACCGAACGGAACCGTCGTCTCCTTGCGGCTAGGATCGAACCTCCAAGGATCAGGGTAGACGTCCGGATTGAGATGAACGTCTGAGAAAGGATATAATACATATGCCCCTGATGGGATAGTCTTCCCGTCAATCGTCACGTCAGGTCCAAGGTTTCGGCGCATGGCAGTATGAGGTTGCGCAATTCTGAGAGTCTCGCGAATAAGAGAATCAAGAACGGGTGTCTCAGATTCCCAAGCCTCCAGTGGAATGGACGAAAGTTGTTGTGACAAAGAGTAGGAGACGTTAGGAGAGACGTGATTGGCTAGGAGTTGCTCCACTTCAGCGATTACTTCATCCTTGGACTCATGATCACCAAGATAGGTGATGAGCCACGAAGCCGTTGTTCCAGTAGCACGTGCACCAGCAACTAGCAGACCCAAAATGAACTGTTGAAATGTCAGATGACTCGGAATGGCCATACTCAACAAAAAGACTTACACCGACGATGACAAGCCTTTCGTCTTTTTCGTCGAGAAGCATCTGCAGAGTGTCAGGTTTGGATATTCCACTGCGCTCCCGTTCATCAATGGCCCGGACGACAATGTCGTAGATTTTTTTGGTCGCCCACAGCTTCTTAAGCATGCTAGGCCCAGGAAGCCATGGAAGTAAGACAGTCGCAGGCGTTGTCCCACTGTCCAAGGTGTCGTAGAGTTCCTTGAGACGCGCAACTTGGACAGGATCGTTTGCCAACTCCTCGCAGGAGAGCGATCGTACAGTAATTTGGAATAAAAGCTGTAGTATACATGGTCAGGAGTTGGGACGAGCCTAGTGAATCCAAAAACCGACTTCGTAAATTTTTTCAAAGGGGTCAAATGTTCCTGATGGTCCCCACGTTTCCATCACCCTTCGGCAATCCTCCAAAATGGGGGCAATGACTACGCAAGATGATAAAATGAGATGAGATAGAATAAGTGAATGAATAGACACGACGTACGGCCACTTAAGTGTTCATTTCGCTGAACGGAGGAGAGACGCTTATGGATTTGCGCAATGCGCTTGGTTTGAAGGTTTGAAGTTACCCCTTTGACAACAGGGATCTAACTAGCGTCAGGATCAAATGTCTTCAATCATAGAAAAAGATGCTGACAGCTCCGGAAAGCATTTTAAAGCCTTCGGTGAGGTCGAAGTGCTTGTTGGCGAAAAAGGATTTCCGGGCTGACTCTCCGGAAACAACAATGACCGTCTCCTGCAAACATAGTAGTGAGTGGTCGCCGGAGAAGATTTGGTACTATAACGCTTACTCGGAGCATGTTGAACTGAAAGAGGGACTGGCCAGTTTTATGGAATCCATTGTTCAGAAACTCGAAACGTCGGCGGAAGAATGGGGTGATGGCGAGGAGATGAGAGCCGGGGAGAAATACTGGGGCGCCGTCAACAGCACCATCTTTTTGAGAGCCAAAACCGAAAAATAGAAGAATAAAGAGAATAAGCAAAGCGAGAGCCACTTGGGCCTTTAGGCTAGAAAGAAGAAATGCGTCGGCAGCGGATTGTAGGCCGACCGTATACATGATACAAGCTGTCGGACGCGAAAGATAATACTTGAGTACGGCAACCAAAACTTGCGTGATGGCGCGACTTTATATGCCACTCCATGGGTCATTACACCGTGTACAAGACGCCAACATGCGGCCTCGCCTGTATGCACACATGAGTGCCTTTCGGTGATGATCAGATCTTTAATTTGCCAGTGTCGGTTCCGCAAACGCGGTAAATACGTAATTGTCTCGTGGCCCGTATGTATTACATACGTCTTGTGTCGGAGACAATGACGACGCTCTGCAGTGTAGCCTAACGTACTTTGTGCTGCATTTCCTTAACCTGCATTGGCCGCAAGAGTTAGTACATCCGGCCCTGCATCGCAGCACTCTCTAATACCTAAAAAATAAAACTCGGACAAAGCCTCGAGGTCTTGGTGTGGCATGGCATCTTTGCATCTACTCGTCATCCGTCGGACGCCGGTGTACTAGAGCCTCGATCCCGTTCACCACAAAATCCGTCTATCATCTAACGTACACGTCACCTTCGTATACACACGTCCCGAGGACTCCCGCATACAGCGCGCGGTCACCAAAGGCAAACAATCAAGACCATTCAATCTATAAGGATGACCAAACTTTCATTAGGCTTACGGATACACCCTGCAACGTGCATTTTGTTTCCGCGCTAACGACTCCGCCGGAGCCGTGAGCCCTGCTGTACAGGCGAAGACTTGGGGCATGTTCCGACAAAATCTTTTCCCAGGGCTGTCCAACCACAGCGTAATACCCACGACGCAGCGACGCAACACCAGCATGTCACAATTTCCATCCGGTCAAGCCAGAATGCCAATGATCGAAGGCAGTCAATACACACATCCAGTGAGCCAGAGCGGCCAGAACCACACAGAAGTGAAATATTTGATGTGATGCGAAGAGTAAGTCGAATTTCCCTGGGGCCAGACATTCCGGTATGCGATTGGCGCTGCGCGGGGATGAATTGTAATGTCAGGCATGTGTGAAGGCGGGAAATGAGGCCCTACGCACTAAATCAACGCGCCCGTAATGTATAGTCCGCCTGATGCGAGCAGCCAACCAAATCCCATTTCGGAAAATAGCTTCGATGCCCCATGCGATACCAATAAATGAGCAACTGGGACCACAGCGGACAATCCAAGACCAATGAAAACACCGGTACGTGCACCTCGATGTGTTGGTTTTGCATATTCAGGGTTGAGAACGATATATGCTGCACCTTAAAACGTGTATTGGTAAATGACTTGCTAATGGACTGATACCAATGGACAACACCGACCTGCGCCAACTAGTGCGATGGAACATAGATAACAGGCTTGCAAGGCTGGTTCACAGTAGAATCCGTAGTAAAGGCATGGTACAAAAGATCCGACGGTGAGGACTACGGAAGGATTCATCAAAATGAGATAGAGGTGGCAATACCTTCACTTACTGACGATCCCCGAGTAGTCCAGTGCATGGCACTGGGTCGACACCTGTGATCAATTTCGAATCACGAGTCAGATCCTGTAGTCGGAACTTGGAGAAGGGCTGACCTGTGCCGAATGACAAGTGGCAGTGTGGAACATGGCGCTCGCAGTAAGGCAGAACACTGCAGAGAGTAAAAATATAGCAAAGACAGAAGTATCCAGCCAAGTTGCAGTGCTATACGCCAAGATATATTGCCCGTGGAATGTCATCAGAATCCAAAGGAAGACCATAGCGCCAGCCAGATGACTGAGGATGTTTACTGGAAAATGCAATGGATCATGCCTACTTGAAACAACAAGAAACTTACCAGTTTCGTTATGAGGATCTACTCAGAACAGAATCAATCAACGACATATAAATGTTAGGCAACTCAAATATCCTTACAACTGTAGATAGATGCAATGCAACCTGACCAACAGTTCTGCACTCTAGTAGCACAGCAGTCAATCAACCATTCGCAGTGTGGCAAGTCGAGTGTTGATACCAAGTCTTACCGTCTGTAGCCCATTGAAATATACTCGTTATCCCTCTGCCATTCTGGTATTTCGTGCCAGGAAAGCGTCATCCGTTGCTTGTCAGGACCAGCTTGCAAAATGTGGTGTCCAGGTCCATTCAGATTGCGCTTGCGTGCCTTGAGCTCGGACATACGGTAAAAAAAACACCTCCAGGTATCGAGATTGAGAGAACAATATGTGTAGGCTTGGTATATAGGAGTTGCAAGGTACGAATAGTCTGGCTCAGCACTTCATGTGCATGAAGTTCCAAATTTCAAGCTCCAAGTCAAAGCTTGCGTGACAGGCACAGTGCGCATGACCCCACTTTGTCAGTCACAATTAAATTTAATGCACGTGAAGTACAAAGAACAGCACTCGTCCCACACCTTGAATGCACAAGTGACAAAGTGCCGCCTCGCAAGTCTGAAGAATGTGCCTATCAAAACCATGGTTGTCATCGATGTGAGCACAAATATTGATAAGCGCCAATCTACAAGCTGTAGCGCTCAGCGCTCATTATTGAAAAATTTCAATCGCTGAGATGACCTCGGCGATTGTCAGTTGTATACAAAATCGTTCCATTACCATGGGGAAATTTCTTCTTGGAAGACTCAACATGATGGCCGCTTCAGCTTCTGGAACCTGTCCTAGGAGCCACTTCTTCACCGGAGGGGCGTTAGATATCGTTAGGCATACCAAGGTGGCAAGTTTCCAGGGCCAGATCGGGCCGAGATGAATTTATCGTGTATCATGTTACGCAAGTCCTTCGTCACATCCTGGCCAGTCGTACTAAGACCGCCGCCAAGGTCGCAGAGACTTTGTTACTATCAGTTCTTCTTTTTCGCTACTCTCTGACACCTATCACGAAAGCTCTCGGTCGCCGACACGTGTCACCGAAGGGTCGTCCAGTGCTCAGCGCTCAGCCACGAGCGGAATTTTTCGACGTCAACCCAACGTCAACTAGCGAAAGTGGACTGACCAGAATTCAATTGCCACTTACAAAAACACCCTTGGTCACGAATGCAGTTGAATTCCGGCTAAGTCAGAAAAATATTCTCGACAAAAGCCCTCCTCTTCGTCGAGTCTGAATATTCTACAAGTCGCTAATGTTATTACACGATGAAAAAAATGAGCGTATATAGGTCCAACACACGGTGAAAATCGAAGTGAAGAACCGAGACGACGAGTCTGGTATTCCGCACCGTAAACAGCTAAGAGATGAATACTTTCTTGAGCGCACTGAACTCGCACTCCTGATCAGTCACTTGGCAAGTGACCATGCCATTGTGCTTTGCTGCCATATCTTCCAGCGCCTGATGGTAGAATGAGTATCAGTTGGTCACATGAAGAAGTTGGTGATAGGTTCGTTTTCGGGAGTGAAAGACATACCTCTCTCGAGTAAACTTGACCATTAGGAAACATCATAGGCATGTTGTCCTCGTCCATGATCTTGCCGCTAATTCTACAAACAATAGTAGAGTTGGCGTGGTGGCTGAACGGAACTTCTCGAGCCAGAGTGTTTATGCTGGGGTCGCACACCGGGCAGTCGATATTGTGGGATGACTTGTCGTTGCAGGATGGCAGCTTCAGTGAAGCCAGACCAGAATAGAGAGCAAGATTGAGAAGGGGTTCAGTGGGTAAAGAGTTCAGATTGTAGATGGCAAGCCGAAAGGCTTGAATGAGATCAAGCCAGCGGGAATCGTCATATAGTCTCTGAAAGGTCCAATGAGATACGAATACAGATGGAGTAACGCTATCTTACGCGGTACGGACCACACGTCGTAGAAGGTTTTATTGCAAGTAAAGTGGCAGCCTGCATAATCTGTGGGAGATGTGTTTCTTGCCATGACACGAGATGTTTTTTCGAGTAAGCCATGGCCTCCTGCTTCTTCTGATCACGCGCCAACTCGATGTACTCTTGTAAGCGAAGTTCAAATTCGAGTGTGCTCTGCGGAAGAACCGAGATGTTTTCATAGAGATCACATATTGCAGAATTCAGTCTCACCTTAATTTTCCGCAACGCCGTCTTGTTCTCGCTACACCATGCCAGTGCTTCAGTGCAGCTGTGCTTGGAAAGTGCCAATTCGATTCTTCGGATGTCTGTGAACAGATCGATGTCCACAAGGGTCTATTGCAAACGGTAAACGCCATGAGTTGATGTGAACACTTTGCGGAACTACAAACCTCTATGTTCCTGTCCTGTGCCAGTGTTCGTGCTGTGTTTTCCCGTCCAGTCCGGAGGGCCCAGTCAACAAGCCATCTGTCAAGCCGCGTGTCCGCCCACCGTGAAAAATCGAGGCTACCAGTGGTTTGCAGGGTCTCTACCGCCATGAGATGCTGTAGCCTCTCCCGAGTGACATCAAGGGTGGGCTTTCCAGCGGTATCCTGCAGTTCTGAAAGCTGCGCATAATGTCCACTGATGTAAAATGAGATCCGAACTAGCAAATAACACCACGTACCTTGCGCTTGAGGTTCTCAACCCGACCTATCATTCCATCTACGCTCTTAGCAGCATCCTCGAGGTTGACCTCGCGGCTCTTGGATCGTTTTAGTAAGTCATTCGAGACAGTCTGCACATTTCCGAGCTCGCGCTCAATGTTCCGTTGTGTCGCACGGAAGACCTTTCGATAGTTTTCATAAGGGACCTGGCGGAGTGTGATTGTAGTGAGGTCATTGACAATTAGCAGGCGTAACTGCGCACTCGTACAAACGGTTGCTCAAAGAGCAACACCCCCTCTGAATTGAGCTTTGTTGAGCTCATATCAATAGTATAAGAACCTGTCTTCAAGGCTTAGCTATCGTTGAAGTTGGGAGGGAATCGGGATTAAATGATCGTAGTACTTGTAATTACTCCCACGTGACCTGGAAGGCCCGGGCTGGCTGGCACTAAGTAGTAGGCAAGTAATACAAAGGCTAGTAGTTATACCGCTACTCAGTACTTAAAGATCATACCGTGTGTGATTAGGTGGGAGCTTAATATTGTATGTGATGGTGAGTTACTTGGAGGGAAGGGCGGCTAGTCATAAATTGGTTTTGGACAATTGAATTCGGCGGTGATCAAAGCGACTGGAGCTTTCACTGCACCCTGTACAAACCACTGTCCTGTGCATAGCTGCGGGATTACGTGCAATAAAGCAGTTGGCGAATTTGTGGCGGATGCGCTAAGAGAGCAGCAGCACACGGAGACACGGCCGCAGAGGCTCAGCACTTAGACTTATTACCCAATTGTATACGTGAGCCCCTGTCAAATTATGGGATCTAGGTGGAGTCGCCGCAAAATAGCAATTCTACCTTCGCATTGAGAGAGGGGGACCATGGGGATGCCATCGAGGCTCATGCTATGGGAAATATATGTCATACACACATTTCCGTGCTACCCCATGCTCAAAAATTCAGCAGCAAAATCCCTTTTGCACACGTCGCATCAATCACCGCCATCAAAACCCCAGTAACCACCCCCTTTATCTTATTGCCTTCAGCTGGCCTTAATGCTTCCCATACCCGTGATTATATACTATAGTACGGAGGGCTACAATACACTGCTATAGGATTTTCTAGCGTACACAAGAGCTTTGCGGACGACAAACAAGCTATCAAACAAAGGGCGTAATCATCAATCTCACCGCCTTCCGTTATCCTGTGAGCCCCGTTTCCACGCCATGAAATCCCGAATTAAGGCCACCACAAGAGGAACAGATATAGATGCGAATAGTGGCGTATACACCGCATACTTGTGCTCGGCAGGAAAGTACAGCAATGCCAGCATCCCAGGATTGAAGAAAGCGCGTGACGCCATAGATAATGCCTTACTGGACCATCGCAGAGCAAGGGCCGGCGATGTCGCGGCAGTACGATAAGCCTGCATTATTTGAGCACAGTCTTCATTAATATGACACCAGATGCAGAACGTACCTCGTGGAGCGATGCAAGGGCGTCTAGGACATCATCTCGTACCACTTGCCCAACAGGCATGTTATTGATCTGATCCACGAGCTTTATAATGCTGTGTAATGTGTCCTGGCTGCCTTGCACATTCTGCAATGCACGATGCCGGAGCAGAGCATCTAACTGCCAGTCGGATAGAAAGCTTCCTTCCATACTCAAGCCGAGGGGAACGGGTGGCACGCCTAAAAGAGCAGCGAGCTGGGTGGCAAAATTGCGGAAAACTGGTTTTAGATCGTTATATGAAAGATGCAACGAGGAGGAATTGAGTTCATTGTTGAGGATGAAAATACTGCCCCATTGGGGCAAAAGGAAGGAGCTCTGATTTATTGGACGACCTACTAATAAGTCAGAAATGACCATAAGCGAGTATACGCGACATTTACCTTCACTGTCAATAATGTTCATGGGTGAATGGGTCTCAGAAGGAACGAATAAAACGAAATGTAGAACAGGATCATTCGAGACGCTGGATGCTACAATGACTGGTCAGGTGTTGACACCATCGATTACAACGCAGTACTGACCAAGTGTCCATTCGGCAGAATTGATAAACACAGTCAAGTCTTCCTGAGTAAGCCCTGATACTTCGGTGTCACCAAGGGTCACGCGTCTCGGCTCAAATGCTAATGGAGCATGGTACTGTACTTGACTTTCGACAGTAAAATTGTGCAAAATAGAGAGTTGAGATATCAGCGGATATATGAATTCTGATAAAGTGTCTTGAGAGTTGGTCTCGATATAGAGGGGCCATATGGATTACCTGCGAGCGCAGCTTGCACATCCCATGTTGCAACGAATCGATTGGGGGTTGCGTCTTCATTTAGTAGCGTGAAAGCGAGACGATAGTGATCTGAGTATTGAACGACGCGCTGCGAATGTGAAGTGCCTGACTCTGGAGGAGCGATAAGGTCGGACAACATAGAGCTTAATCTCGTTGCTAATATGAGAGCAGTCGAATTCGTTTGAAGATACAGTACTCTTATTGACTCACCTGACTGTGCATCGGTCCTGTTCACCCGCAAGTTTCTTGAATGCGCAATTGAGGTCTGTCCACCAAGAGCAACTGTATATAGGCTAGATGCTACTATAGTAACACGTTAGATTGCCCTGTCCATTATATAATTTCCGTGAGCGCACAAACCTTGATCACTTCTGTCTTGTAGGCGTATGTCAACGCCTCTCCACCGTCCAGGTTCATTTATCGCAGAATCATGAAGTAATGTTTGAACTTGAGAGTTTAGGCTGGGATTTTGTTGGCTAATGGACGCATCAAAGTGAATAGCGATAGGAAAGACAATGTTACTCTGAAGTTGTGATCGTACTTGACTGGTCGGAAGTGCAAGTCTCTCGATACTCGTCAAATGCCACCAGAATGGGAAAGCCAGAATAATAACGATCCAATACGAGGCCAAGACTGCTCTGCGTATCCAGTCTCTTTCGAAGCTAAGTTTTTCAGGATCTTTGAAGCCAGAGCCAGTGTTTGCGAAAGCAGCAGAGTTCATCCTAAGTTCCTAACAGAGTCCCCAGCAATAACACCAAGTTGCCAACAACGACATCGACCCGCAAATGGGGGGTCGGAGTTTCAATCCCTTCTTGCTAGAGATCACTCATTCTACCTCAGTCATTTACTTCGACTGAGCGTCTTCGCTCCTAGTTGCATCAAAGTTTCAAATATCCATGTTCGATAACTGACCCTCACTTGCTTTCAAATAGCTATACAAATATTCACATCACCACGACGCGCTAGGCTAATTTTCATCCCAACTTCTCTTCCATTCCTACCTGTGACAAGCGTTGTAGCATCTTGGAGGTCCCAATCCTCTTAAGCATGACTTCTGCAAGCTACGAAACTTCTACTTTTGCTAATCCTTCGTCTGCACACGACATACGACGCTCTCTAGGTGGCAGTTTCTCATCTGTATACGACGTAAGTTCTCGTGAGAGTCGTACTTTCTCGGGTCGTTCAAATATCCTCTTTCTTAGTCGCCATATTCTACTGCACGTCGAAGATCTCCATCTCCTGGGCCATCTTCGCGGAGATACTCCCCGTACGATAGTTATATCCCCCGTGGGGGACCTAGCTATCGTAGTGATGATCATCCGAACATTTACAGGCCAAATGCATGGAGACCAGAACGCTATAACAGCCGCAGTCCATCCCCAGATCGTTACGACCGGTCTCGTTCTATGGAACCGCGCTTCTGGGATCCCGGTTCCCGCTGGCAGTCGTCTTGGCAAGATCGAAGATCCTCTCCGAGTCCACCACCTCTACGGGAAAAACTCCGCAGAGATACTATGGCAGAGCGAATGTTCGAGCCATCAGACTCCTGGAAGCAATCACACGTCGATCGACCCGGCCGATACGAAGCGTTTGTCCATTTGCGTGTCACTTAGTATATTCTCTCATTATCGTATGTAGGTTGGAGCCTACAAGTCCCAGATTTCCAGATTATCGTGCCCGTCCTGCACGAGATTACTCTCCTCAGAAGTCACCAGGGTATCCTCCTACTCATGGTGATACTTATCGCCCTTATTCTAGTGGTCAAAGCTACCGAGAACCACACGTGTTCGTTCGGTCAGATTCATATCGGCCACAATATGATGATAGTGCTCGGCGGTCACCGCGCTCAGTTGATAAATCGAACACAGATGCTTACTATCCGCGTCGACCATCCAGTCAATATGATCACGATGATACGCGGTCTTCGACCTCCATTGCTAGTACACCGCCTCGCCATGCTATTAACTCTCCTCCCCCAGACCCACATATCACCGATCGTGACCCCCGTATGCATTCACCATCTTGCAGAGCTGCATCACCTGCCCACTCCGTAGCACGATCTAGAGCGTCCTCGATATCTTCTGAAGTCCCCCTTAAAAGATTAAAGTCGAGATCTTCATCCCGATCATCTGCTTCTTCTCGACCTGATAAATCTGCTATGTCCGTGCATAATGGTTCTAAGGATTTCGTGTCACCGAAATCAAATCGAGAGAGTACAATCCAACAAGTACCCACGCATGTGTTGTCGCGAGATCCTGATCGACTTGGTTCTACATCGAACACTTTTGCTGGAAAGGGTTCTACACACCCTAAGCCTCTACCCCACGAGTTGCCGCACGTGGACGCCAAACCGGTCTATCCTGTGGTGAACGGTGAGCTTAATGGTCCGCCTTTGGCATCGAACTTCCCGCGTTCTCCACCAAGTTTATTGTCAGGAGAAGGTATGACCATCCATTTTGCTTGTCGATAACCTGAAGACGTATACCAATTTAGATATTGAGATGTCTCCTCCTGGACTCATATCTTCTCATGCTCTCCCTGGTGACGTGGAATTCGCCTTCTTGGGAGATTCTACTGGCAAAGGGATTGAAATGCAAACCAACCAAACCTCCCTTCTTTCTGATGACATTAGTCCTGCTACACCCAGTCCTGCTTTGAAATCTGTGGGGGCGGTCGTCAATGACTCGCCAGCGTCCGCGACCGCGACCACGGCTCCTTCACCAGAATCAAGAATACCGGAGAAAGATATTGATGTCGGCTCCTCGCGAACATTAACAGGAAACACTCCCTTTCTTAAGTCTGTTCCACAAGTCACTGCCACCGAATCGGTCGGTAGTCCATCTCATATCGAGGCAGGAGAGCAGCCTTTGACTCCTGCACTTGACGTAGAACAACCCGCAACCTGGTTTTATGGTCGTCCGTCTTATTCAGACTCGACCGCAAAAGCCCTCCGTTTTGTAGTCTTAACGAGGCTTCAATGTGATCGTCAGACGCGCGATGAGCGTGTTGTTCCGGTTCTCAGGGCCAATCGGGCGATCCGCGAGCCTTCTCTGCCTTCACCCATTGACGCGCAAGACAAGCTTTTTGAGGAATTTGCAGCTGATCAGCCCCGTCAGGAAAGAATGGCGTTACATTCTCAGTCTATTAGATCGTCCTTATCAGGACACTTCCTGGAGCGAGAAACAACCCTTCGGGAAAAACAGCAAAAGCTGAGAGAAGAATATCTTGAGCTACATCAGCAATGGATAGCGCAATGTGCCCGGCTCGATAACGTGTCAAAAGGTGGTCTACCTGAGGAATCCATGCCAGCTTCTGCAGGCGGCAGGTCCACCAGACGATCAGCTGCTGTTTTGGGTGATGCTGTTCGCTCTGATCTTGAGATGGAGCAAATCATCGCGAATCTTGGGATGGAGGAGCTGACGGATCCAAGCTACTTGGCGATCAAGAACGTTGCAAAGATACCGGATATGGTTTCTGTCGTTGATGGCCGTGGTCCATATTCTTACGACGACACGAACAATCTCTTGGACGATCCTGCGGAATTCTACAGCTCGTCCTCGGCTCTTGACCTCTGGACAGAAGAGGAACGCATTGTCTTCAAGGAGAGATACGCTGCCCATCCGAAACAATTCGGGCTTATTGCTCAACATCTACCCAATAAGACTGCCGCCCAGTGTGTCACGTACTACTACTTGCACAAGCCGCACGTCGACTTCCGCAAGGCTATTGCACAGTATGGTGCAGGTCGGCGCCGAAGGAACGGCAGGGGGGCTAATAAGCAGAAAGGCAACGCGCTACTTGCGGATATTCGCCGCCATGATGATGAGGTATTGGCTGCCCACCCCACCTCCTCGGCTGTACCCAGCAAGCGCAGGAGGGCTGCTATGCTGCGATCCAATGCTGAACCCAGGAGAAACCAGTCCCGCAGGAGTACCGTCCAGCCTGATCAGACCCCCACTTCCTCCGGGACAACTCCAGATCCTGAAGCGGATGAGCAGAAGCGCCGGCGGCGCTCCACCGCAGTTGCGCGTTCGTCGGGTCTTGCTCAAGAAGAGGTCGAACCTACTGTACGTCCGGGTTATGTTACTTACTACTGGCGTTTTTGTTGATATAGATGTTTGACGTATACAGGAACTAGGCGCTGAGGCTCCACCTCCAAAGCAAACCAGAAGACCCCGGAAGCCAAGAGCACGCGCAGTCCCCACCCCGTCAGAGGAAGCCACCCCCGCTCCAGAACTCCCAGATTATTGCAAGTCGTCGTCGATGCCAATACCATGGTCCAAAGAGGACAAAAGTCAGGCCTCTCCCGCACAGCCTCTGAAATTGGCTTGCTGATCTCAGTCCAGGTTTGTTCCTTGAGCTTCTATCTCAACATGGTGATAATGTGCACCGCGTCGCTGCCTCCATTCCCCACAAGGTCTGTGGTGATCTGGTAGCAGGCTGTGGCGCCGCTTAGCTTGTCACATGAATGAATTGGCATCTGTTTCTGTTGGGGATTCGACACTTTAATTATCTAATTCAGTAGTTATACTGCAGTCCTTTCAGGCGACTTTGTCTGATACGTATATCCTCAGCTTGTATCTCACTCACGTATGGTAGTTGTATAGTTCGCTAATTGTAGACTCAAGCCAAACGAGTGCATAGTAGTATATGGAAGATACAGAGGGCGTCGAGTCATCTACGACCCTCTACCATGATAACGTGGTATCCGAAATTCGTCTTGACTAAAGGCGACAAAACGGGTTTGTCGACAGTGGACGGGGTAAGGGCGAATGCAGCATCTTGGAATGCACCCTTTATGACAGATAAATTTCGCTTATCTGAGTCAGTCAATGACAAACTACTTACAACCATAGACCCTCGCACCATCCAGCCAAGACTGCCACCAGCTGGGACGAGAATTTTGTGACATTCCACAATTATATCTGGTCAGTAAACTCACCTTTAGCTTTGTCCTCTGAGTATTCCTGCGCTACCTTGTCGAAGCGCTGCCCCTCCTGCAAACCACCTATCAGAACCAGTGCACCTTCATATAATGGCATGTGTCACCACCTGGATCTTCTGCAATGCCTCAGTTGCCTTGGAGTGTTTCTCGCATAGAATATGGCGGACGTTGATAGCAGTTGCGGCCTTCAAACCACCCTTTCCCTGGACACAACTCGAGGTGCGGTTTTCATCAGAAGCGACTGTTGTAGCTTACTTTTCCCTCGGATTGATCACCTTTGTCGGTGTTCTTGCTGTTTCCACCTTTCTTTTCCGTAGGCTTTTTCTCAGCCGACCCTGATTGTTTCTTGCCCATGGCGTGGAAGGTGAAGGCAGTGGCAGCAGTGACTGAATGACGTGGTTACTAAATATAGAAAGATTCATTTGCAACCGGAATGCCAGTCTCTCTAGAACTACTGCAAAGTCTAGTAAGCCAACCAGTCCTGAACTCGTGGTTCCACGCGTCCATGGTCGAATCAGAAAATGACTCAGGCGACAGCGCTCAGGTAAAGGCTCATTGGCAGATATGCCGCCGAGGCCTTTTGAAGACCTGTCGCTCATGTCGATTCTGACTCTTGCTCCAAGCTACTTTTCGTTGCTCGTTGTATTGTTCACTGCATCTCGTTATTTCATCTTTCACCCGATTCGACATACTTCAACATTTCAATCCCTACGAACCGTCGCCTCTGTTTCCACAACGCTCTCGATCGTCTCCCATGGCAGTGGTTGTTTGCACTATGAAATACACCAGACTGTACACCTCACCTTCGTCTATTGTACAAACAGTCATCAGAAATATGGAAATACATGCCCAGAAACCTGATTCACTTCTGTCTTCTCCTATCACTCATATCTGCCCAAATCGACTCGCAGAACTTCACGTAGATCTCTGATCTATGACTTCTTGTCGGTGGATGCATGTTCTAATATTCTACCCTCGGCGTAACACATCAGGAGCCAAATTAATAGCTTTCAACAATATGGAAGCTGCCAAAGATATTACACATTATTCGTACCAGCTTCACATCTATCTGGACAAGTATAAGACCTGCACACCCACCTTACTACTTGCCCCGTGTCGGATAATTTCTCGTCTCTGCCCTGTAGAGTTGTCATCACCTGGACGCCGCACTCAGATCATGGCAATCCGTACAGAGCTGGGCGAAGCTTGAAGTTTCGCAGTCCACGATTTGTTAATTAGTCTAGGTCGCATCGGACGCACATAAAACACGTTGCCACACCGCGCTTTTCAGCGGTGGCAAATCCACCCCCTTTCTCTGCACTGCATGGGTGCACCAATCTTCCCAACTGTTATATCTGCTGTAGCCGTCTGGTCGAAATATTCTGAAGCCATCCGGACGAGTGATCACTGATCATTGAGGCGGAAGACACTGCTAGCAGGTGCACCGCCACTACTATGAATCTCCCAGACCATCATGATAACATTGACGGAAGACACTCGTTTCCTTCTATATTGGACGGCCCGCACCCTATCACAACATGCGTATTGCACGACAACATGTCGTCCACAAAATGGCATCGCATATCCCCAGCCCCAACTGCTTCTAATCACCATATTCAATCCAATCACGGATCTCGACAATGCCCTACTACTCAGTTACAGGCTGAAGGGCCTTTTGACACTCGTCAGCATCGAGGACTAGTAGGGTCAAGCAAAATTTGTGATGCACTCTCAAGCTGGTTGGCCCATCGTAGACAGGAAGTACGAGGTTGGTTCAGGTGTCGTGTAACAGCCCACGGATTCGCAAATTCTTTGAGACAGTTAGGACAGTAGGCAATCATCTAGCAGTAGGGACGGAGTTGCAGGTAACGACGTACTCAGGACTTGTCATATTTCCTGGCAATACCAGGGTTATAGAGTGCACGTCACAATAAACAAGGATGGTGTACATCGTTATCTGCTAAGTATGCCCAAACATGACAACTATTGGTAATGCCACACTCACGTACGTTCAACGTCGAACACCTGCCTTCATGCATCCAAACAGCAAATAACGCGGTCTCGAGTGGCTAATTGGAGGTTGACTAGGACTGGTGAGACCAGGTTCAGTTCGTCTATCGATGGCTTGCCTATGTGGGCAATTGGGGTAGTGGCGGGCATGGCTTTCTCATTGCACAATGTCAAATTGTCTTGTAAGTGATAGTTCCTGGCGAACCAGGTCACAGAACTTCACGCAGATCTCTGATCTACGACTTCTCATCAATGGGTGCATACTCTATTCTACCCTAGACACGACACCGATCAGAAGCTACGTGAATAGCTTTTGAACAATGTGAAAGCTGACGAAGTTATTACACCTTATTCGTACCGGCCTCGCGTCTTGTCTGGACAAGTATAAAACCTGTCGCCCACCCTGCTTGCCCCTTGTCAACTCGTTTTCTGTTGTATTCCCTGCAGATTTATCATCAGCTGCACGCCACATTTACATTATCGCAATCTATACAGAGGTGAGCAAAGTTTGAAATTCCGCAATCCACAATTGGTCAATCTTATTCTAGGTTGCATCGGACGCACGCAGAGAACAGGTTGCCCTTCTCAGCAGTGTAAAAGTCGCTAGCCACACACAAAGTTTCTCTGCACCGCATGGTTGTCCCACTCATGGTCCCAGTCGTGGCGTCTGCAGTGTCTGCAGTGGTATCTGCGGGGTCCGCCACGTTTGCGGCCATCTGGCCAATGCATTTTGCCAGAGCCAGGCGACTGGAAGCAGAAGAGACAGCAAGGAGGATGAAAAATGACTTAATGGAGATTTTGATCCGCGTAATGTTGCAGAACCATCTGGATGGACTGCAACAGTCAGCTGCAGAAGATAGTTGCAGGGTGGAGGAAGCAAGGCTCGCTGCTGAGAAGAAATGGTTCGAAGGTGTTCGCCCCGAATGTCACCCTTCAGAGGAAGATATCAATCAGATGAAGGCCACGTATCATTACAATCCGGGATTCATCCATATCGCAGTTGTTGGCTCTGCTGGGGCTGGCAAGTCGTCCTTCATCAATGCCGTCCGTGGCTTGTCCACAAATCATACCATGGCCGCTCCTGCGGGAATCATCGAGACCACTCGCACCGTCACGAGGTACCCTGATCCGCGCCCGAACTCCCGGACAATTTGGTATGACATTCCCGGATCAGGCACTCTAGAGGTGCCGGACTGGAAATACTTCAATGACATGGGCCTCTACATCTTTGATTGCATCATCGTGGTCATAGACAATCGTTTCTTGGATTCTGACCTTGCCATCCTCCGCACTTGTGAGCAGTTCAAGAACATCGAGGCATTCCTTGTTCGCTCCAAGTCAGACCAGCACATCAAAAACATGGTGTCCCAGAAGATGGGTTTCGACCCTTGGGATCCAGACTCGGACATGGACGACACAACACGTTCTCTTTTCCGGCTGACGAGATCACAAGAACACCAGAGGTTCATCGATGAAACGCACCAGAATGTCCAAATTAACCTTGAGAAGGGGAACCTCCCTCCTAAGAATGTCTATATCGTTTGCAACGACGCCATGCATCAGACAGTGTGCACTGGCAAGATCCACCCCACAAAGACAATTGACGAGGCAAAGCTTCTGGATGATGTCAAAGAATTTACGTTGAAGCGTCTACAGTTGGGCTGTTCAACGTAAGTCAGATTCCCCCGTTCGATTATCAATCAGATGGTTGAGTACAAACTTTACTATATAGCTAGGCCTGCCCCGGATCCTGACAGCGCCAACACAAGGCTTGTATTAGCACTACATCTTTTAGTATTTTGTTTGCTGGTTATGTTCATTTTCATTTTCTTGTCGGATTTCGCTGTCTGTAACTCTCCGCCAAGTCTGTAGTCTCACATATTGCGTTCTCGGAGTTCATTTTGTTATGTTACATACAGTTTTTCGTCAGTCGATCGAAGTGTAGCTGGAACAACACGACAGTGCGAGGTTGATCGAAGTCGAACCGAAATCTTAAATTAGAAAGACGAACGGTCTTATAAGTCTGTACTTACCCAAGTGTGAACATCGATGATTGATATGCAGTCCCAAAGTCTGAAGCATCACATTTTATTTCGTTGCAACAGACTGCGTGTATTCGTAGCAAAAAAGAGTGTTACACTAGAAGCACTCGGATTATTTCAAGAGTGCCTCCACCAAGGTCGCAAAGGATGCAAAAGTCAGGCAGAGCCATCTGATCGATTAGACGATAGGGACGAGAGAATGATGCACAGCAATATTTACCAGTAACGCATCCGGACTCTCCCCACCGTCGGTGATGATGAGACGCCCGACGAGGTTATCCGCCTCACAGCTGGCCTATAGGCCATATAATACATGTTCTACAGTAAGATCTAATCCTGACTAGTGATGGCCGCCTAGCTACATAGTACGTGTTGGTACTTCGGTGACTAGCCCAATGATCTTCCTCTTATGATGTTCAAAGTCAGTGTTATCAAATTCTAATCTTTGGCCTCTTCTATGTCTTTACCGTCTTGTAGTGTCCACTTCGCAGCCACCGCCGCGTGACGGAAATGTTCATTGGTAGCCCTTCTACCGACGATCTTTGGATACGGAATTGTGCTTGACGAAGCGACCTCTTCGGGCTCTTCAACGACTCCGGTATCTGTGTATTTTGCATTCTCCTGGTGTTCTGGATAATATGAACTAGGCGATACTGCGGCGTCCGTGTCGTTGACTGCCGGTTGTCCTTCATTTTTGGACGCCGCAGAGGTGTTGGACTGGTATGACCGAGTTTCGGCGATAGAGTGAAGGTCATCGTCACGACCGTCGGCACCTGATATTTCTGGTTGGTGGTTGCGCGGGGTTGGGGCGTCCACATCGGCGTTTACTTGTGGGAGGCCTGTCAATGTACGGGGGCTAGCTTCTTCAGGGTCGGATTGGGGCTTGCGTCTTTGGCTTCTTATCATCTCCAAAAACTTCATAACTCGAGCCAGAAAGGATGATAGTGATAGTTGCTGGCCAATTGCGTGCCACCACCAGCGCTCTCTTTCCCTGATGCGAATGATGCCGTATGATATTAACCCGAATACGATGAGTACCACAGTACCGACTATGGCTCCGGAAGTTATATCCCTGGCACTGCACCAATCGATGGAAAATGCCACAAAGAAGAAGATCATCCTAACTTGAGGTCAGGGCGTCTGCCTATGGCATTATGGCTCAGACTCACCCCCACATGAGTAACGCCTTGGGAATGCTGTAAATTATGGCCAGCTTTTCAAGTCCATGCTTTTCGTCGTGAATTTTTAACGCGAATGATGCCTGACACAACTACCATAAGAAACATTCCAGTTGTACAGCATGTTACTGACCGCTTCCAAGGCTGTATTGTCTCCAGAGGTTTGTTCATGCCAGACCAAGAACATGCCGAGAATTATACTTCCCAAGCTCGTAACCAAAGACATGTAGCTTATAATCTGAATGGCAGATCTCCCGCCGGTATCAACAGTGCCGATATCGAGAAACCCAACATTGACGCTGAGCAAGACAGTGGCCTACCAATGGTTCCAAATTAATTTTGTTCAACGCAACAGAGGTAGATTTACCAAGAGATTGGAGTCCTTGAGCTGCCCTTTCAAGTTCGAACTAAGTGCATTCCACCGTGCTGTGGAAGCAATTTCATCTACAATGGCCCTGTGTAGTTTTTGGACTTGCGTCATGGGGTCCAAAAAAAGGAAGGGTGCGACCACGACCATCAACAATGATGGTGTGTATGCCCAACCATGAACCGTCTTGTCAGATATCAGTCTCACGCAATCCTCCCCGTGAAAGTTGATGAACTGATTTTCACCTAGAAAGCCATCGTCAATCACAGCTGGATAGAAATGAGAGAGCACTGACTGAATAACTTCATGATACGGCCTTAAACGATAATTGACATTAGGAACAGCTGAAGTTCAAATTCAAGCCTCACCAATGATAATGGCAGTATGACATCGTTGCATCCGCTGCTTTTCACGGGAATGAACTTTTTAGAAAAACTGAATTAGCACAGAAATTCACGAGGAAGTATCGACGTAGTGTACGTACCCTTGAGTCCATTTACCACCGAAATGTAGTCCTTGAGTTCGATGACATCACCTAGCGCAGAAGACCGCTTCGATGTTATGTGATCTGATGGTTCAAGTTGCGACCGAACATATTAGGTCGAGATAGAAGACCTAAAAAAAGTACTAACCACATGTCGCATGCATCAACATATCCTTAATCTCATCGACATGGTCTTGTGAAACTAAACACAGGTCAGGGAAGTATTCCCAATGCAGCCTATGCTCTCCGTCAGTATACTTGTATGTGAACCTATAATTGTATTAGAAATTGGATGGTATTGTAAGCAGTGTCGCACGGACCTTTCCTAGAACACAACCAGTACTGTGCCTGAATGGCAAGCCCTGATAATGAGAACCAGGACGAGTCGTCAGATCCAGATGCACTGACAACTACGATCCACCCACGTATGTGTGAAAGACTCTTGATGCCTTTACAATCGGAGAGCACATCTTTGACGTCAGACTTGTGCAACCAAAAGAGGCATCTGCTATTGTGGTTAACGAAATAGTACCCACAAGCGATGCCGGAGCTAGCAACGTCGCTATCCTTTAGTTCAAGTACAAGATCCACCTGCGTCAGGTCGAGGCGGAGGTTCTCTTGTTTAATGATTGACTTGAGCCCACTCCACAAGTATTGCATGTAGTCTTCGATGCCCTTGTGTATTTGTGGGTCAAATATATCAACTTCTGTGAATGTCCTCTACATATAGTAGTCGTACTAAAAATGCTGGTCTTCAATGATCGATAGATTTTACGCACTTGTTTTTCGTTTAGAAAGTAGCGAGAACCTTCTGGATGAACAAGGGTGGTCCATCCTTCAGGCAAAACCGCACTTGAAAGAGTTTATGTATGAAAGAAGATGGTTTAAGTACGACTTACCTCAGGTCATGGACAGGAAATGTGATTGTCATAGCGGGGACAATAGTCAGGGCACTGTCAGTGGGCCTTTTTGCAATGTCAGCTCTTGAGTACAAGTAGGACAAAAGGCTCATCTTCACCGGGGAATGCACCTGTCATACCTCAAGACTCCTTCCGCAACCATAGGAAATATTCCTGGGAGTATACGCTGATGGACCTCAATCTCTGAGCCCGGCATCTTGTTGCTACCGGGCGGAGCAGCGTAATAAACATGACCGGCAGCAAGATCTGGTGGTGCAGGTTGTCGCGCCATGGAATTATGGACATCTTCCGAAAGACGATAAACATGTCCCTTGTGCGGTCGTAATCCAGTAAATTATGGTGTAAGACTATATTTGGAAGGAGTCATGCCAAGCGCGGGATGCATCGTGGAGGCCGTGGGCCTTGCAGCAACCAGAGAACGAGCATCATTTGTGGATATCTGCGATCGTGAATGTGACTCCCACAATCCATAGCCTAAAGGACGTGATGGGCCTGGGCTGCCAGACCGCTCTAATGGGTCGCCATTGGGTGACGGCCAACTCATGTTGCTCCCCGAGCTCTCCCCTGTGTGGAAACTTGATATAGAACTCCTCTCTATCTCTGCAGTACCCCCATTCCGTATTGTTGTATTAATCTGCGACAAAGGTATCGCTGTATTTTTTCGCAGGTGTTGTAAATGGATTCTTGAACGAGGACCATCCGAAGAAGGTAGAGGCAGAGAACTCCGGCAAATGGGTGCATCCTGTCTTGCGATGTTCTCTTGGGAGCGCAGTAGAGCCTCGCTGGAAAGACGTATCCCAGCAAACAATCTCTGACCACATGCACTGAGCTTTAGGCGATCAGAAACAAATCGGCAGAGTAAAGACAAAAAAAGCGAAAATGAACTCGCAGAGCGTCGTGCAAGCTGTGAAAGCCACTTCTTCACTGCGTTGAGCAGGTGTACAAGGAATTGTGCTGTCATCTAAAAAGTATTCCAGGACCTATAAAGCCTTGACGCAGTTTGAGTTAGGGAGCTCAGCACGAGGCTACAGCGCGGCGAACTAAAGAAGCTTCAATCACGGCCGGACCTACTAGTACTATTAGTACTATAACGTGACCATATGCGCGTCTTGTCCTCTGGAGTTTAATTATTGCATACGAAGCATTAAGATACAAAGTGTAATTCAGAATGATTATACATTGAACGACTGTTTAACGTTTAATGTGCACGAACTTGAACTGTTTTGATTTCCCAAGCGTATGTTTACCTGTATTTACTACCATTATTCACTGCACAGCCACAGACGCGTCGCTTTCGACCCGGAGCAGCACTACACCAAATTCCAATCTCGAGCTCGCCATGAACGAACATATCTCAATGCGCGTCAACTCTGCCCGTCTTTCCGGAAACAAGGGCAGGACAGTCCGCCTCCCTTGCAAAGTACTCCGAGTCAGCTAATGTTCATTCACGTCTTTCACGTACGCGTCTGACCCCCTTATCTTGTTCCAGCTTTCAGATGACATTGCCATCGTCGAAGCGAGTGATGGTGGTCAGGTAGAAATTCAAAGGAAGGTCAGAGCTCGTGCACTCCTGACTTTTCATAACACTCATTGTCGGTGGTAGAATGTGGATATGACTGCCACCTATGTCGAAGTTATTGGAAACGTGGTGGATGCATCCACAATAAAAGCCATGGCGACACTCCCGTTGGATTCAGAAGGCGAGCTAGGTATGTTTTCAATAAATCGTATGGCCATGTTCGTTCTCATTCCACTAATATAGATATGCAACTGGTCAACGACGTGATTGAGCTTACGTTTGAATCGAGGTTCGATAAACTTTTCCCTCGATACAAAGACACATAGCCTAGTGTGCCTACACATTGATTATCTACCAGCACATACAAACTTCTCGTTGTATTTTACCGCATTGCATCACATAAATTGGGAAAAGTATACTCCATCCATCGCCCCTATGCATTAAGATGGACCGGCTTTGGCCATCTTCTTGTCATGTCCCCTTTTCCGATTGTGGTTCCCTCTGCTAGCTTTGTTCTTGTCTTTCGATGCTCGCTCTCTCGCATCACCACCATCTCCAGACCCTCGGCCGCGCCCCCTTCCTCTCCCTGCTCCGCGCGCACCCCTGCTTCTTCCGTGATCTTCACCACGGGACGATGACCCAGAACCACCTGCGTTTCCGGTCGTTGACAAATCTACTATCCTATTCCCAGAAAATTCGTGTTTCTCTAAGATCTTGTCTTTCTTTGGCTGGATGCAGGGTGATGAGAGTATCAGTACCGACCAGTCAACGCAGGTAATGATAGCATACATTGCGTTCCAGCATAATCCTCCATCCCTCGATTTGCTCATCGGACCAACCTATATGTTAACTCAGCAATGCAGCTACTAATGAGAACAAGTGAAGACTCGCCGGTCTGTGTTTTGAGCTCACTACGTGCTTTCGACCTCCGTGTATTAGCATCTCTAGCAAACAGCTCCGGATCACGGATATACGCAAGCTCCAAAACAGTCTCCGGAGTAACTTTCGAAGGCGGTACCCCATCCTCGTCGCCATCGTTTTCGCCCTCGCTGCTAGCCTCTCCATCACCAATAACCTTCACCTCGTTTCCAAAGTCGAGATCATGATCGACTTCGGCAGCCTTGCCGCTGTCTTCATCTTCCTCTTCGTTATACATGGCCTCTGCACGTCGAAGAATGTCAGCTTTCATTTGCTCGACGGCTGCTCTGTCCCTGAGCGTTGATGCCTCATCTTGGCTATAGAGCAGAGCAGTGAGTGACAGGATATACAAAGGAATATCGCTCCATACTTTTTCTTCCCCACATGTATCTTGGTAACATCTATTACCTCATCGTCAAACACGTTCTTTCTCTCAATGGGCTCATTGGGCACAGTATGGGCACTTTTGTTCGCACCGACATCATCTGCAGCAGAGGGCTCTGCGGGTGCGGTGCCCTCCAATAGTGCTTCGATGACCTTCTCTGCATTCTTGAACACAGACTGCGTGAGGAGCCCCCGGATATACTCGGGCGATTGATTTGGGAAAATATCCATGACCTGTAAGATCTCCACGTCGAGATCATGCGGCTCAGGTTCAGGGCGGCCTGCTTTAGTTTTGCCCTTGCTTGAAGACTTGGCCTTCCCCGAAGCAGAGGTGCCGGGCGGGACGCCAGACGATTTGATGATCAGCCTGAGTGCCCCAGGATCTTTTGTCCCAGCAGCGGAAGATTCGATGTCGAAGGAGCGAAGGGTGGACTCGAGGAGGTCAACTCGGGCGTCTTCACGTGCCGCACGACGTAGAGCAGATGCAAGAGTGCTAGACAAGTCATACGAGTGTTGATAGTCGGCTATCAACGATCGGTTGAGGAAAGGAGCAGCAGTGCTAGTAGCAGTGCCACCCGTTTGTACTGCTGGCGGGGGTGGGAGGTTCAATAGTGCAAATACAATACTGAACGTCCGTTCTGACTCTGCTGCCAACTCTGTACCGGATGCGACTGAGAGGTCTTGGAGCATGGTTGTGATAATAATTTGGAAACTGTCTATGAGGTCAACCTTGGTTTCAAGCCAAATGCGCTCCCAGTCATCCAGCTCGCGTGTGCCGACGTCCGTGCGCATTCCACCGTACGAACGTGCTAGTGCAGAGAGTCCTTCTTCGTAGGCTTGTGCAAGTCCTGTCATGAAATCGTGGTCCCTCGCGAATGGACGCACGAGTTCGGGTGGACAACCAGAGAGCAGACTGAGAAAGCAGCGTGAGGTTTTGCGAAGGCCGTATAAACCGGCAGAGCGGGACGGTTCGAGAAGAGTGGTGAGCACAGGAACCATATCTGAGGTAAATACAGTAGCAAGGTTTGGTGTGCTAGCGAGGGCTGTAGCGAAAAGGGCACGGACGCGAGTTGGGTAAGGAAAGTATGCGATGGCGATGTCGAGGAGTGCCTTGACATCGAAGCAGGAGGGTACGATAGCTAGCTTCTCCGCAAGGAACAGGACGCGTGCGTGTACATGATTGTCCGTATACGGTGGAGCATCCCAGATGAGAGATTGCAAGGTTTGATGGGCAACGTTATTAACGTAGCTGAATAAAAAACTACGGGTGGCAGGGGTGTCTCGTCTTGCGGGAGGTAGTGCAAGGATCTCAGAGAGGGCGCTTGATAAGTTGCTATGGAAAGTTGCGAGCTGGGAGGCTGATAAGGACTTTCTGGCGCTTGCAGGAGGATATGTTGGGAGTGGTGCAACAGTCGGCATTTTTGGACCTAGGCCGTGATGAGTCTATATATCTAATGTCTGTCAGCTGGTTTATTGCGATTAGAAATACAAACATCAACGTATGATGGACGTCGGATAGAGGCGCGCGATGTGGCTTGCTTGATGATGGCAGTCACGGTACTTCGCAACCGGTCATTTAACGCTCAGCGCTCGGATCTCTGAGAGTCAGAATCAAGTTTGGAAAAACGGATCTAAAGGCTGAAGTAATGAAGTCCACCTTCTACTTAGCAGTAGTACTAGTAATACATAGAAAATGGTCTCGATGATCTTGACATATAGTAAGAGCACATGCATTTCAATGCCGTACCAAGTACTTAAGTGCTTTATGGTATCACATATTAGCATTTAAAAGTATCATACGCAATTATCCTGATTGTAAAATCAGTGCGATTTGCTGAGAGTTTTGAAAATTGTACGACGTGTCACATTCATGCAGTTATCTTTGTATCGTTTAGCGGTTTTCTCGCTGTGTCTATTAGAGTCCGACTCAGCCAGCGAGGCCGAACAGACTCGGCCCGACTGTGCTCCACAAAATCACGTTGGAAATACTGAAGTTGCCGGCCCATCATGGAACTTTCCAGCTGGTGATCAAGCTAAGCTCAAGTGGTGGCCTGCGCAATAGTACTGGTTTGCAAATTGATTATATATTCAGCACGGAAGTATCGTAACTTATACACCACCAACATTTCCCACTCGCTCACCCCCATCTCTCAAATATGACCGTAATTTCCAATGATCCCAGTTGGTGGCCAACAATCAATTCAAATATTATTGTCAGCTATTGGACAGGTTCGTCACACCAAGATGTCTAGTTCTAACATTGACTCGCAGTTTCGCAGTTGCTGCCGGCGTCATGGTAGTATATGATTGGAGTGAGCGGAATAGTGTTCGATAACTGCTGATATTCTCATAATATTTCTAGTACTGACACTGGGACAAGAGGTAAGTCGATGTTATCGTCGGAGCAGTCAACTCGCTGAGAACGGTGTCATAGATTGAACTGATATGGGTGAGTGACAAATTCCCGTATCAGAAAACAGGATAGGCTAATACAATAAATTCGCGACAGAGGCAACGCTGGTCTCTCATGACTGTGCTGTATTTGGTTGTTCGTACCTTATGTTATATCATTAGTGTGGTTGGCAGGTTATACTAACTTCAATATGTTTCAGATACGTTATATTGGAATACCATATTCTGTGTGTGTGTCCAGACCAACAACTTATCACCGTGCTAATCGCTCATTTCTGACAATTAGTGTCAATGTTCTGGGTATGTCTCATATGTGCCGTGTTCGATTCTTTTGACTCAGGCTGGCGGCACATAGGATGTTTGCCATTGGTCTCACTAACGGATGCAGTGAGTATTACACAATCGTCTCATTTTTACGCTCATATTTAGTAGTGGCGAGTGAGATTCTGATCATCGAACTTGGCTCAACATAATATCTCAATAGGTGTAAGTCGGAGCTTTTGATACCAGCACGAGGGTGTCCACTAATTGAGTGTTTTAGGCAATCTTATGAATCGTGCTCAGAATGGGACAAATGGGGTCATATATGCCATGTTGGGTGGTAAGTTACCCAGCTGCAATACCTCTGTGATATTGACTCGATTAAAACACAATGCAAGTCATCATGATTGCTCGCTTATATGCCATGTATCTGGGATCTAGAAGGATGCTCATTTTTCTTGTTGTTATCTTTTTGGCTGTTACCATTGCTTGCGCAGTAATCGGAACAATAGCGACCAGGGACAGTGTAGCGGGTAAGCTTTACTTGTTGACTTGAAGAACACAGCTCATTGGACAAACACCAGAGAAGCTAATACTCTCTGGCACGTACATGTGCGATAACGAATTTGAAGGGGGCGACCAACTTGCGTATTTAATGTTTTGGACGGTCTACGCTGTCTGGGAGATCCTCGCACTGTGTCTTTCAGCCTGGATTGCCGTAAAACACTTCCGTGACATGCGACGACTCCGTCGACCGATAGGATCGACAACTGGGGACTGTTTCAGAGTGCTGATAAGATCTCATGTGCTTTATTTTGCAAGGTGAGCGTGTAATGTGCATGCTGTCATCTTTTTCTCAAGTTTCGCACGCGCTAGCTTTGTTTGGGTCTCTTGCCTCGAGGTTGCTATTAGCTCTGCAGGCCAAGGGCTCATGGTGCGCCGACCTGTCGCTGACTCTTGCTTGTCACCACTGCTAATCATTTCTGTAGAATACACAATCTATGGGAATTCAGATACTTGTTGATGCTTCTCAAATTTCACAGTCCATGCAGATGTTTGTGATGGGACCACGCCTCATCCTTAGCGTTCGAGAATACCACGCCACACTCGTGGCCAACTCCGATGCAGAAACTAACATGAATTCGATTGTCTTCCAGGAGCGTGTACTTATACCAACTAGCAGTACTGTGTAGCGAAATGCTTAGCGAGTGGTCTGCAGGGAGGAGAAACTGGGTCGAGGATCCGTCGAGATATTTATTCAACATTAGCGTTTCAAAGTATATTTGAAAGGTCTAGGCAGACTGGAGCGAAGTTGCTACACTTGCACAGTCGAAATGATTTAACTGGCAGTCCTTGACGCCCGATAATAAAATACAACGAGAATCAGTATAAATTGCCGAGACTGCAAATTCTACGCGTTTGCGGAGTTCCGCTATCTGAGCACACAGATGATAATGAAGTTACTGCGAAGCGTGAAGCCCAGATGGCTGATGACTCATTGGTGCTCAGATGCGTTGTCCTCTATCTGGGCTACGGAGAATGAAAAGGAATTAATCGCGCGGACTCCTGGATCAATGTATGCCTCTATCACGAATGAGCATGGCAAGGTCTGCTGAGTGGGGACTGGAGAATTAGAGAATTGGAGTTTTGCAAGTCAGAAGACCTCAAGCATACCTATCAAACTACTAATGAGGCATCAACCAAGAGATTCTGTTGGAGCCCCTGCTAAACATACAAGATGACATTGAGGGTAGTAAAGAATATCATAGTAATGTAGATAGTCTTGGACGGCATGGAGCTCGTCACCAGGAGGGCAGTGATCTTCTTCGAGGACGCGAGCCAAACGACAAGGCACCTTTTAAATACAACCCCTGAGGGACGATCAAATATCAGTTAAATAAGAACAATAAGACGCGACCCAAGACGTACATTTTGTGGTATAGACGGAACGTCTACAAATCGATTGGAGACAGTAGCTAAAACGAATTAAAAAGAGACGTCGATACAGAATTTCAAGTAAGTCGACCCGATTTTTGTGTCGGAACCTGCTGATAACATTCTAGATGCAACGAAGTCAGCCACGCAACACCCTGAAGTGACAGTAACAACTTTTATACCGCATCAGGTCCTTTATTCGGCCCAAATTCTTCCCAAAAGACTCCCTTTCCTACCAGGCTGGGACTTTCCTAGTAGTGCTCCGATCCCCTTGTGTATTACCGTATTCACTGGCCTCATAGACGCTGAGTCATAGACATGAGGACAGGGCTGTGGCAGTGGTGGAGGATTCAGCTTCGGGGCTTCTAAATCCCGCTCATATCTTGAAGGTTGACGAGGTGACCTGCTCAGCTCGTCAAAACGCGGAGCGTCGAAGGTGCGCCGGGCTGCCTTCAACTTGTGCAGGACCTGTTCGTAAAAGTGTATCTCTCCATCAAGATGCTCCCTCGTTATTGTGCTGAAGTTTTCCACTTTCTGGTCGTGGTATGTGTCCATCTCAGCCATCGTAGTGTTCAAGACAGTTTCGCAGCGTGCGGCCATCTCATCGTTTGACTGGACATATGCATCAAGCCAGTGTCTTCCACAAAAATTGTGAACGTTCCGACCTTGCCCAATTTGAGAGCATCTTTATATCGTGAAACAGTAGATTGGTGGGTTTCAACAATTCCCTGAAACGACCATACTCAGGGCAAAGACGGTGATCGAACAATCCAAGATACCTCATACAATTGGTATGGATGGGCAACGCTCTTGAAGGCGTCGTGAGTTGCAAGCTGGGTACGCCGGGCCTTCGTCTGTGGTTAGTACAAGTCTTGCATAAGGAACATGACACAGACATGATCGTCATACAGGTCCGCGACAATCTGCAGACCATCTGATGTTTTCTGCATCGCTTTTGTGAGCTTCAGACAATCTTCGAGTCATGTCTCAGTTAGTCATGAACTCCAGAAATTCACGTGAGCACCTTGACAGCCTTCACGCCAACACCAAGCTCCTTCTTCATTCAAGAGGCCGTTTCTCTGTTGAGGGGTGTCCCCCGGATCTTCGTTAATCCCCAGGGGAGTAGAAGACAAGGGTATCGACGTGACCAAGGACAATAATGAGTACGACAACAATCGTTCGGCTTTCGACATCTCTGGAAAGCACTTTGTGATGATAATTTGGTACAACTGACGCCCGTACTCACCTAGTCTCGCTTCACGAATGTGACCAAAGACGTTTCTCAAGCTCTGCGTGCTCTTGCCCACTGCAAGGGTGTGACGACTGAAGCGATCGATTACTTCTGTGGCATCGTCCAAGTCTAAGTTGAATGCGGGATGAAAAACATGTGCGAAGAATGAAGGCCCAGCCGCAGGCATTGAAAGTAATTGGGGCATAATCCGTTTCCAATCCTTGGACATGGGTTAAAAAGCAAAAGTGAACCCATCATTTTCGCTCACCGCATCATTTTCGCAACCAAGAAAAGACGTGACAACTTCGGCATATCGTGCAACAGGGTGCCTCACAATACATCCAATATATCTCTCGAGTTCGCCTCTACGAGCTTCGACAAAATCAGCACTGAACCGTCCAGCATACTGTTTCTCAGGAAGTGGTGGGAGTGCAATACCAGGAAGACGTCTAGTCAGCGAAGTGTGTAACACGATGAAGTGAGAAAACCGTCGTTGAACTGTGATGCGGGCAGGAGAGATTGGTGGGATGTATGGATCATATGATTCATCTGTAGCCGAAGAAAAGAGTGAAGTGACACTATACATGGTATATGCTCCTGAAAGGCCCGATGTGCGCTTTGAAGGTGAGTGAACCAAGACTCGAAACTTTGGAACTTTAGATTGCCACGCAGGGCCAGCGTCAACATAGTGCCTGTCTGCTTCCCCCAGCCCAAGTCTACTGAGTCTATTATCATCGTTGATGGAGTCTTCCGTAGAAATCCGCTGATGTGAAGAGGATGGACTTGAAGTGACTGGATCGACATAGCCCTCGAGAACCCACTCTTCTGCACCGCTTGTCACGAACCCGGAGAACCGATTCAAAGTCTTGCCTCTAAGAAGGCTTTGCCTGAAACTTGGGAGAGGGTTCGTCCATTCACCGGTATCCTGAGGAACGATAGAAAGTGGCTTCGACTGATGCTGCAAAGATGCTTTGGGAGTGATCGTGCTGGTAGATGGCTCATTTCTCCCATGAGCGGCTAACGGTGCAGAAAGAAAACTAGTCGTGCACTTCACGGACAGCATAAGCTAGATAAGCGTACGAACATCGAGCGATCAGTAAGATCAGTACTCACCGTGTAATATGTCTGAGGTAACAGCCCTATTTCACCGGAGCTCACTCTCACCAAACTCCAGCCATCTCCAGCTTCTTCCTTCAAAATGTTCAGTTCATCTCCAGCCCCGACGGCCAGTTCCTTGAATTCAGCCTTTCCTTCAAAGTTGTAGAGCGCACGAGCTGCTTTGACGGGCTCTTCGACAGGCTGCGGTTCATGATGTTCATCTGCCGGCTCAGGTTCATCGTCTGATAATGAGTAGCACTCCAAATGCTCTGTCCATGCACTGGAAGAGATTATTCCAGCGTCAAAGGGAGTGTCAGAACGTGGACGTGTATCGTTGCCCGATTCAACTATAGATGAGTCTGAGGTTGATTTGATGGGTCGAGGTAGCGTCGCCATAATCTGTCGGAAAGAGAACAATTGTACAGTCAAAATAGCCACGCCTGAATTCACACATCGGGAGTTTCAACGTTTTACCTGTTGCAAGATTTCAATCAAAAGCAGATCTGGACCTGGCTAGACCATTCCAGACCTAGCCTAGAGCGTTCAGAGCAAGTACTCTGGATTACTAGATGGTCCCACGAGTCCGTGTGTCCCAAGAGTCCGCGCATTGACTCTAGCACACGCAATTCTGCACAGAATCCTTATCCATGATAGATCTGGATTCGCCCAAACATAATACACACTGCCATATATTTTTTTTGAAGAAAATCGAAGTAGATCTTGTTCCATGGGCAACTTATCAGTGTGAGAGGCATAGAAGGCTCACTCTAAAGGTCAGATCTCCACATATAATTCTAGAATATTGTGAGATGGTTATATACATGATTAGAGAATACTAAAACAAATTTATTCGTGGCACATGCTTGTCAGGATCATCTGCGATAAAGAAATAAGCCCCAGACGTGACAATCTGCCCAAAGCGTTACATAGAGACTGTGTAATCAAAACTCCGCAATGCCGAAATGCTTTACACATGCACAACTTCACAACATCTAATTGGCCTGTGCAGAAGGCAGAGGAAGCGCGGAGATAACCAGTGCAAACACGACTCCCTGCAGACGACAGGGAGTCCTATGGAGATTTTAACTAGTAATACATGAATAGTGAGCCTAGCCAAAACCTGCGAGAAAAATGGAATGCTCCGACAACTGGCAGGATAATAATAATACATAACGATAGGAAAAGACCAAGAGAAAGAAATTAAGTCTCGACCGCTATACACTATAAATAAGGGAGGGATGGGAGGGAAAGAAAAATAAATGATTGTGGAAAAATAAATAAATAAATATTGAGCGAAGCGATGAAAGAGACACACCAAAAAATCAATTTCCCGGTCCATCGTGAATAGAATGCCCACCAAACAGCAGGGCTTGCAGCAAAACAGGGTTCTTCCGAACATAGCGTTCCCATGTATCCGAACGCCAGCGCCCAATCCGCTGAATGCTGGAGGGTGAGACACCAGCAGCGGCCAGAGAAGTCGCACCACCAGCACGCAATGAATGTCCTGCGATGGACACATCAAAAAATACGTGCAAACGGCGCATAAACCATACCCGCGAGGGAGGTTTACCATTGTTACGCAACCAAAGGAAAGGTTGCAGTGGGAATTTGAGATCCCGAATGGCCAGGTAAGCCGCGAAATTTTGTAGAGGGTCAACGGGGCCCTCACACCGTTGAATGAGAACTTCATTTCCTTCGAAATGAACATCCGCTTTATCACGAGGCAGAAGAAACGAAAAATAATCAGCATTTAAACGAACTGAGTGACGCAGAGACAACTTCGCATAATCACGAAGTTCCAGTTGGTCCAGCCACACCAATTCCCCTAAACGCATGAGGCCGAAGAAACCACATAAGAGTTGAGACAGCCAGAGGATGTCGTCATATGACAAAGGACGAGGCATGGTAGAGGCCACACGAACAAGGTCATCCCGCAATAGAGGATGTTTCCGATTTGCAGGACGCCCAAACCGACGCGCGGATCCCTGCAAAGAGCGTTTGACGAGATGAGATTGACGGATTTGACGAATGGAAG